ATTCTGTTCTCAAAGTTGCCAACCAGAAGATTATAGGAAGCCTGGAAGAAGTGCCTAGGTGCAACAGTGCTCTCTCCACTTGCAATTTACAGTGAGTCATTAGCTACTTACTAGTCAAAGATTCTAGGGACACGGGTGGCGCTGTGGGTTAAACCACAGAGCCTAGGACTTGCCGATCAGAAGGTCGGTGGTTCGAATCCCCGCAACAGGGTGAGCTCCCGTTGCTTGGTCCCTGTTCCTGCCAATCTAGCAGTTAGAAAGCATGTCAAAGTGCAAGTAGATAAATAGGTACCGCTCCGGTGGGAAGGTAAATGGTGTTTCCGTGTGCTGCTCTGGTTCGCCAGAAGCGGCTTAGTCATGCTGGCCACATGTCCCGGAAGCTGTACTCCGGCTTCCTCGGCCAATAAAGCGAGATGAGCGCCGCAACCCCAGAGTCGGTCACGACTGGACCTAATGGTCAGGGGTCCCTTTACCTTTACCTAGTCAACGATTCAGGTCCAGCCCTACCATTAGGCAGTGAGACAACCATCTCAGGCGGCGGATGCTGGATGAGCATGCAGGGGCAGCGAGAGGAGTTGCAGAAAAGGGCTGTGTGTGCCACATGGCCTGGCCTGTATCCCTTTAGGTAGCCTGCAAGCATGGTGCTCGAGGGGACTGGCATTTTATATCAAAAGTTGGCAAACCTACTGACAGGTCCATGTATGCAGGACTCTGCTGTGCTGTTAAAATTCATCCTGTTAAAAGTTTGCCCAAGGCACTTCTAAATGCATTTTTTAAATAGATTGGCATAATTTACTTGTCCTATATCCAGTACCCTGTGATTTTTTCATCTTTGAGAGAGAGAGAGAGAGAGAGAGAGAGAGGCAGCCAGACCATTTCTTCTATCTCAGCAAGCCAAGTAATCAGCGAAGTGGCAGAGTGTTTTCTTTTAGTGCAGGCAGCCTGGTGACTAAGCCGTTCCAAGTCTGCCATTTCAGCCCAAGACAGTTTATTTCCTTGCACAGCATTAATCTCATGTGCTGTGATGGCCTATATCCATATAAGAAATGTTTAGAAAGCCGATTACGGATTAACCAACCAGAAGGATGGCACAAAACTTGTAATATGGAGAGTTTGGGTTCAATACCGACCTTTATGGTAATAGCATTCAGCATTTGTAACGCGCTTTACATGTTTAAGTCACTCTACAAATATCACATGATTCTGATTTCATCCGCATCCTTACAAATTATGTAAGCATAGTTTTTTGGTCTCCAGTTTCAACCTGTAGAAAGCCAGGCATAGGATATGGATTAGTTGAGAACTCCATCAACACTATGACATTCTTGGGCCACTTCTGTGGCCTCAGCACATTGGTAGGTTCCATCGCTGGCCCCTGCCAGCCTGGCACTCTAAACAGAGGTGGGTGTCCAGTTCCGGCTGCCATTTTGAAATTCCCACAATGCATCAGAGAAACCCAGAACCCACTGATGAAGAAAAAAAGGGACCCACCATAGAGCACTTTGTTCAGGATGCTCTCAAATCTGGAGCCAGCCCTAAATTGATTAGACATCTATATTTACTAGAGCAGGCAAACTTTTAGAATTCTTACAGGAATTATTAGGCATTTGGGATTGTATCCAGGGGTGGCTTTGCCCCATTTCTGCTTGTGTGTTCGTGCCCACAATGGACCTCAGGTTTCTGGATCTGAGGGAGACCGAGGCAATACTAACTGAGGGAAGTGCCAACACATCCCATTAATGTGGATGGGAAACAGTGAGATAAAGCTCAGTTGAAAGTGTTAACGTGTGTGTGGCACTTAGAGAGAATTTATTGAAAATGATGTATCGTTGGTACATCAGACCGAGTAAACTTGCCGAAATGTATAGAAATCAGGACAAAGCTTGTTGGAAATGCAAGGAGGAGGGGAATTTCCTCCATATGTGGTGGACTTGTACTAAGGTCAAAGCCTTCTGGGACATCATATATAATGAATTCAAAAAGGTATTTAAGTATAATTTCAGTAAAAAACCAGAGGCTTTTCTGTTGGGGTTAGTTAGTGAGGAAATGAAAAAAAAGAAGATGTAAATTTGTTTACGTAGGCCACAACGGCTGCAAGAATACTTCTGGCCCAGAAATGGAAGCAGCAGGAACTTCCTACACTGGAAGATTGGCAGATAAAGATGGTTGAATACGTGGAGTTGGCAAAGCTGACGGGGAAGATCCGGATTCAGTGTGACGAACTGTTTCAAAAGGACTGGAGCAAATTTATATTTATATGAAATTTATATGAAAGAAAACTGTAAACAGTTGAAAACGTTTGTAGGTCTGAGCTGAAATGTTTGGTAATGTGAAAATAAGGAGCTGATTTACATAGAAGGGGGTGAATGCGAAAAGATAGATATAAGGTAAAAAAGTGGTAACAGAAATGTGAAGAATTGGTAAAGCTGTGTGGAAGTCAGATAGAGGGAGGGAAGGAGGTTGATGCTTTGTGTAAGCAATGTCTTAAGTTATGGATTTGTGTTATGAAAATGTAATGAAATATGGAAAACTCAATAAAAATCATGTTAAAAAAAAAGAAAGTGTTCACGTGTGGGTGGATGTGCACATGGAAATAATGGATCTGTGTGACCCATGTGTGCATTAAAACTCAAAGTGCTCAGGAAGCAGGAAAGAGTCTGCTCTGGCGCATCAGAGTGCTGTTGATGTGTGTGGGAATGTTAAGGAAGGTAGGAGAGGATATATTGTTTTGATATTATCCCTCCTCACTCATGCTAGTGAGTAAACAGCAGAGCACACCCCCTTTGCAACTTATAGGAAGCAAGTTGATGATTCATTAGTGTCCTTTAATTAAGCAATCCAGTCTGGATTGTTCCTGGTAAGTTTCCCCTTTATTTTCCTCTTATCTTAAAATAATAATAGCACAACACAGTCTTCTTTAAAGAAGTTTTACTCACATTCAGTTCACAGCAGTGATCTGGAGGCAGGCTTTATCTTGTGGTTACAGTGAAAAGAAGTCTGAGCTACACCTCAGACTTACTGCTTGTGGGCTCCATCCTATGTGAAGGTTGAGCCATTCGCTGGCCAAGAGCCAGGAGAGTGAGAGTCCAAGAGAGAGATGGTTGCGTGGCCAAACCTTTTATCTGGTCAGCTAGGGTCACACCCATCTACCTGGTCGCACACAGGGTGACGAAGCTCCAGAGCAAGTATGAGAGGAAGTCCTCCCTGTCTGGAGCCACATTACCCTGTGTGTCCATTCTAGGCAACAGGAAAACATTGTACTTGACTGCTCTAGTAATAATACATCCCACAATGTGAACATCAGAGCACTCCCTGTTTTCCAGCTGTGCTAATGTCCTTAGTTCCTGGGAATGAAAGAGGACAGTGCCAATGGCAACTGCGTGCAACAGCCACCATCTTTACATGCTAGGCTTGCCATATGTCAGGAAAATTCTTAACATGTCCTGGTTTTCGGGTCTAAAAATGGAGTCCGGGGAAAATTTCGCTGAAATGGCAAAATGTCAGGGGAAACCCGGATGTATGGCAATGCAATGGAAAAAGCAGAAGAAACAGCTCAAAAAGCTTAAAATCACCATTTTTGGGGTAGGTTTCCTCCAAGATTTGGGTTTGTTCCCCCCAAAAAGCTTAACAAAGCTCAACAACTTTGCGGGTGTCAGGAAATTTCTTTTTTGAAATATGGCAACCCTATACATGCTGCAATCACTGCACTGCCAAATTCATAAATGCCAGAATGGGGGAGGAAGACCTGCCCTTTGGGTCAGCGACTTACAACTGTGGGCTTAATGTGACCTAAATTCCAAGCTTCTGCAAGGAAATGCATGAGACACATAAGAAACTGCCTTTTACTGACTCAGATCAATTGGACTATCCAACTCAGCACTGTCTACACTGGCTAGAGTAGCTGTTCAGCGTCCCAGACAGGGTGCAATACCTAGCCCTACCTGGAGATGCCAGGAATTCAGTCTGGTACTTTTTGCAAGGCAGATGCTCTTTCACTGAGCTACGCTACCACTTTAGCTGTGGCTTTTGTCTGCCTTGCACCATCACCCAAAGCATCTATTTTGGTATAATAATAAATTTTAATTTATACCCCGCCCTTCCCAGTTTAAAAATCGGGCTCAGGGAGGCTAACAGCAAATATAAAACATGGATTAGAATGCAACTTTAAAACAGCATAAAATACAACAAAAAATGCAGCATGAATATCAACAGAATTCAAAAATTCAGGGGTCAATTTGGGGAGGGGAAACAACAACACAACGTATGCACGTTGATCACAATGAAACATGCCTTCCATGCTTCACATTTCCAACTCAGTGTGGGGAAAAAGAGTCTGGGGGCCTAATTTATTAACTGCAGCCCAATTATTGAAGATGGCTTAATTTGCCTTTAATGTTCAGTGACTCCATGACAGAGGGTTTTGGTGCTCAAAAAACTTTGCTGCAAATGGTGAACATGTTGCAGGATCAGTTCAGAACCATGCTATATCATTACTTTATGCAACATTAAATTAACAGCCTGGTGTTCCTTAATTGCATCAGCATGTTATTGGCTCTCTTGGAGCACTGGAGATGAGGAAGCTCTTCAGGGAATCACAGCTGATTAATGAGAGTGCGTCAAAACTTGTCAGAAGCCAGCAACCCCAGTATGTTTCCCCTATGGGAGAAGATGATAATGAATGAGATATGAAGATAGGCATGGGGGAAGGGGCTATAATGAAAAACTGCTCACACCCTTAGCTAATGCATGCTTATTGGGAAGTAATTTCCTTTGAGTTCAATGGGATTTGCTCCCATCCAAGTGTGTATCTAGTGCCCTGGCTCAACCAGTTGAGGGACCGTTCTGGTAACAGTTACTAGGAAAAGATGGTTCAGATGCTGGAAGTGTGAGGTTTGCAGCCAAATCACAAGTGCATGTTTTGCTAGGCAAGCACAAGGCTAGTACACAGAGAGATCTTTTGTTGTTGTTGAAATTTAATCTTTATTGATTTTAAATATTAAGTCCCTTCACCACAAAAAGAACAACAAAAACAGATCCCATCAAATAGAAAGAAAATGTTACATATAAAATAAAATTCTTCCATATGTTGAGACTTCCGTCGTCCTCAGTATGGGTCCTTCGTTTCCTTTGTTGACTGCATATTTGTATATTCTTTAACTTAACATAAATTATCCATTGTACACAGAGAGTTCTTAAACTTCCTAGAGAGGATCCTTTGTGTGGCCTACATCTCCTGCCTCCTCTGGGTGAGAATTCTGTAACAGACAAGATAATCCTTTATCCTTCCTTCTGTCTCTCTTTCCACCATGCTTCCAAGCTAAGCAGACATGTTTTGCTGATGCTCCTGGCTTCAGCCAGTGTTTCTGAGACTACCAACATTTATTTTACTGCAACTTAGAATTATTTTTCTGCATACTACTTTTTATATTTGCTGCCTGAATTGAAATGTAAGTAAACCTTTTTTTGTTTATCATGCCAAAATGGTGATGAAGAGGGGGAGGTCAGCAGACCACAAATCAAAGGGCATAAAAGGGTGTGATTGCCTAATTCCAAGTTTTAGTAAGGTGCAAAGCTACAAGTGTTTTACTCTGCTAACAGACTTCAAAACCCACTTACTTTTTGTATGTCTGCCACACACCTAAGAAAGGAGGTTTACATTTTAATCTACAGATATAATCCATTTCCTACAGGAGGTAGATGTGGCTGAAGCTTGAAAGCAGCAAGGAGTTACAAAAACTTACACTCCATCTTTGTACATTGCAAGGCGCGGTTACACTGGAAAATCTTTATGCCATCTGGCAGAATTTTATCTTGTACACAAATAAACTTCACTTAACAATAACAACCCATACTGCCTTCCCGTGAGATCTGGAACTCTAGAGTTACCTTTCATTTTTGAATGCAATACAGTGGTACCTCAGGTTACATACGCTTCAGGTTACATACGCTTTAGGTTACAGACTCCGCTAACCCAGAAATAGTACCTCGGGTTAATAACTTTGCTTCAGGATAAGAACAGAAATCGTGCTCTGGTGGTGTGGCGGCAGCTGGAGGCCCCATTAGCTAAAGTGGTGCTTCAGGTTAGGAACAGTTTCAGTTTAAGAATGGACTTCCGGAACGAATTAAGAACTTAACCCGAGGTACCACTGTATGTGATTTGTACCATTCTTTGTCCCTATGCTTCTTAACTGGATTTCTCTTTCACTCTCTTTTTCTTTGGGTAATATGGCTTGCTTTGCATTAAAATTGATTAAAAATGTTGTTGTTTTTTTAAAAAAAGGACACTGAGCATGGCGTTGAAGGTGAATAGGGTCAGGTAATCACTGAAAAAGTTAGCAAGATCAGCACCAGATTATGAAACAGAATCATGGATCTGAAGGAGGAAAAACCAAAGAAAAGACAGTAATCTATTCTGGCACTTTGGGGACAGGGAAGTGTGAATGGAGAAAGTTGGAGAAACAGAAACTGGGCTATTGGCAAAGCAATTAATAAATATTAATAATATGTCTGTGGAAAAGACATCCCCAGGAGCTTAAGAATTGGTCTAAGTGGAAAGCAGGACTGGTGGACACACACACACAGTTGGATTGATGTACCCTTGAGGAGAAAGACAAAAAATGGGATAAATTTGATTTTAAAATGGAAATATAGTTAGATAATATTCAGCTCTGTATCCCAGCATATGAGCATGATTCCTTTATCTACTTTTTGAATTAGCTGGTGCTTCAGCTATCACATTCCCAGTTTAAAACTGGTTTGCTTGGGAATTGAAGTAATGTGATTAAGCAACTCCTGTTTTAATAGACGTTTTGCAGATCTGGCTTGAGGTTCCTCATGCTGCTTAGTGGTCAGTTTGTCACTTAAAAAAAAAAAGGAGGTAGGATCATCTGGTTGGCTGGATTCAGATGAACAGTTTTCTTCTACGAAGATGCACTGACTTTTGAAGTCTTATGGTGTTTGGAATTAAGGAACGCATTTCAAGCAACCCCCCCAAGAATCCCGGGAACTGTAATTTACCCATCACAGGGTTACAATACCCAACATCCTTAGCAATCTACAGTTCCCATGATATTTGGGGGGAAATGTGCTTTAAATATGTAGTGTGTGTGCTAAACAACTCATCTTATAAGGTTGTGTCTAAGACTGAGCAAAAATCCCCTTCCCCAAATCCACAGCTCAGTCCAGCTATTCAGGGGTGTGAAGGATTATTGAAAGGATCTGTCAAATGGAGAATTACCGTTGTGTTGGCAGTGATCCTCTCCACTTCATCCCCCCTCCCTTTCACTCTCTTTTAGTGCCTCAACCAACCAGCTTCAACACTGGGCATGCATGTATGTTTTGGGAACAGCTTAAGAGTACAGGTATTTATGGGCTGTGGCCAGCAGTCCCAATATATTTGTCTTTCCAAATCCATGCAGCCAAAATACCTTAACCCACCTCTCCCCACCCATAGTCTATAGGTAAAGGTAAAGGGACCCCTGACCATTAGGTCCAGTTGTGGCCAACTCTGGGGTTGCGACGCTCATATCGCTTTATTGGCTGAGGGAGCCGGCGTACTGCTTCCAGGTCATGTGGCCAGCGTGACTAAGCCGCTTCTGGCGAACCAGAGCAGTGCACGGAAACACCGTTCACCTTCCCGCCGGAGCGGTACCTTTTTATCTACTTGCACTTTGATGTGCTTTTGAACTGCTAGGTTGGCAGGAGCAGGGACCGAGCAACGAGAGCTCACCCCGTCGGGATTCGAACTGCCGGCCTTCTGATAGGCAAGCCCTAGGCTCTGTGGTTTAACCCACAGCACCACCCGCATCCCACCCCTATTCTATACTCTCCTTTAATTTATTGTTAGAATGTCATTTTATGTGTATTGTTAAAAAAAACAAAGTTTTAGCAGAGCAGGTATTTTACAACCTTCAGAATAGCCTTTTAGGATTACCATTTTACAATTTTGCAGCACTGGAGATGGGACGTGGCGATTTGCTATTATACGTGAGCAGACATCTGAACCCAGGCAATTGCACATCTGAGTGCAATACTCCATTCAATGCGTCCTTTCACCATAGTGGGACTGATCATTATGCACAGTGTTGTGTGTGTGTGGGGGAGAGGAATTATTTTATTTAGTAGTGAGGACCCTGTAGCAATCATTGTAAGCTGGAAATCAGACTTCCAAATCCCATATTGAGTCCACTGTTACTGTGAGCCGACCACACTGCTGAAAAATCCGTCACTGTTGTTTTTCTGATGGGATACTATAATGGAGTTCTTTTCAGAGCTACATTTGCAAACACTGCTCTGTTCAGTAACCAGCAGATGGTAATCAAGAGCAGACTGGAAGCCTGTCCGTTGAGATTTAAGCACAATACTTCTGTGGCATACTGAGCGTTTGCCAAATGAAGTTACAGTTTACAAGTTCAGTTCTAAATGCTGGATTGCTCAGCTCTTTCTAGTTCATTGAAGTGTACGGGAGTCTGAATTGTCTGGCCTTTTTGGAATTGCAGACCTTTTTTTCCCTGGGATGTCAAAGAAGTTTACATCTGCTGTCAAAGCATCCGCTCTGTTGCAAAGCGAACTGATTGCCTGTCCCGACTGAGGAATGGCTTGAATTTGAGAACGCATAACATATATTCCATCACAAACAACTTATAAGAGGTAAGATTTTGGGCTGGGGGGGGGATCCTTCACTACAGGATGCAATAAATGTGATAGTAGTCATGCTGGTCCAGTAAACTGGTGAGTATTAATGGATACTGCCAGATATAAAATAGTGGCATTAAATCTTAAGATTTAGAATGTTGTAAAGAAATTGGACTGTGTTCTCAGAATACTCTTAGTGGAGGTATGAACAGTGCTTACTTTCTAAAAGAAGGGATTCTGGTTCTCGGACCTAATATGTTCACTCAGAAAATGTTATTTGAAGCCAAATGGTAAACTATCCTAATATATAGTGTTTAAAATCCGATATTCCCCTTCGATATAGCAAATTACCTTGGTTAACCATGATATGCACTGGCTGTGTGAATATTTCTCCTTGACATTTTGTGGTACTATCCATGGAGCTTGGTCCATTAGGGTAAATGGAGAACTGCCCCATTGACCTCAATGTGTCAATTTTCCTGCCTGTCAGTCTTCCTCTTCCTTGGCCACACTGTTATCCTTGTAGAACTCAACAGAGAAGTGGATGGGTGGGAATTAGAATCAATTGACTCTCCCTGTCACTGGGCCAGGCTCCACCTACTGTCCGGGTTCCCTGTATTCCACACCACCAAGCTTAATAGACACCAGCTACTACTACTGAATATGGGCAAGGGTGGCGCTGCGGTCTAAACCACAGAGCCTAGGACTTGCCGATCAGAAGGTCGGCAGTTTGAATCTCTGCGACGGGGTGAGCTCCCGTTGCTCAGTCCCTGCTCCTGCCAACCTAGCAGTTCAAAAGCATGTCAAAGTGCAAGTAGATAAATAGGTACCACTCCGGCGGGAAGGTAAACGGCGTTTCCGTGCACTGCTCTGGTTCGCCAGAAGCGGCTTAGTCATGCTGGCCACATGACCCAGAAGCTGTACGCCGGCTCCCTTGGCCAATAAAGCGAGATGAGCGCTGCAGCCCCAGAGTTGGCTACGACTGGACCTAATGGTCAGGGGTCCCTTTACCTTTACCTTTACCACTGAATACTATTTACCAACTATGGACATAGTGCAAACTTATAAGGGCAAAACTATATCTTCCATGAAAAACAAGGGGTCTTCAAGAGCCATATTGGGCAGGGGTCGGGAACATTTATCTTGCCTGGGCCAGATCCGTCCCACAGAGATCTTTCTGTGGGCTGGATTGCCTGCGGTTTTCAGCGATTTTTGGCATCTGCATGTGCAGATGCGATTTTCAGCACTGAGGAAGCGAGTCCCTGTGCCACACTGCGCCGGTTTAGCACAGCGCACAAGCATGCAGCTTGGTTCGGGGGCGGCTTGTGGGCCGGTCAAACGACCTCCGTGGGCCTTAGATTGCTGACCCCTGCTATTGGGGCATGCTGCACTTGTGTGCAAACCTCACAGGTGAGCGCAGAATGGATGAGCACGGTAAGCTCAGCCTTTTCTCTTAAACGCCATTGTTTAAAGCAAGTAGCCTCCTCGACTTACAGCGGCTTCCTGCTTCACACAGTCACCCTGCATGAGCTGGAGGGTCATGGAGATAGCAGCATGGTATGTCCATGTGTGAGCTCAACATGCTCGTCTCTGCTCATGGCTAGGGTTTACCTGCAAGCAGAGTGCTGAAACGGGGATCTGGATTGCAGACAAACTTGCTGGCTCAAATAGTGAAAGGTCCCTTCCAGATGAGCGGCTTATTGTGCATTCATCCCAATGTGTTTGCACAAAGATTGCATGGAGGTTAGATGACCTCAGCTATTTATCAAGGATTCATTCTAATTGGCCTGTGGGGAGGCTCTAGATGGCTTTAAGCAAGCACACCCCCCACACTTTCCTTGTCCTTGCCCAATCTTTGCAGAAAGCGGGTTTGTTGTGCTAGAGTGCCCAAATCGATTGTGCAGCCTGAGATTGCCAGAACATGATTGAGTCCCAGCTGTAAGTGGCAACAGCCTGGAAGCACCTGCAGCCACCATATTTTAAGAGTTTGGCTCAGAATGGCACCTGATCTGGGGGCACTGTTTCTATTCATGGAGTGTGTGAGCAATAATGTGCTCCCCTTGCTAAATTTGCATGAGAATCAAGAGCTTTGCCTTTATTGGTTCATCCTGGAGTTCACATTTCAGGTGGCACTTCCTCTAGGGAAAGGGGAGCCGGGAGCCGGGTTGAAAACTCTGGAGCCGCACCAGTTCTTGCTTCTAGCTGAGGGCAAAGGCTAACTCTAGGTCTTTGTTCGCCTCACTCTTTGCTCTCACCTTCATGGTCACAGAAGGAAATGTGGCCTTTTCCCTTCACTGCCTCGCCTCTGCCTGCCAGCCCCTTTTCCACAGCCCTGCAGCAGCGTGTGAAAACTGTAGAGGGATTGTTACAGTTGCTCAGGGCAACAGGAATTTATGATACGTTTTGCATCATAATTTAGAAGCCTCAGAAGGGGAACATTGTGTGCTGAACAGCTCTCCCCAAGACTCCTCCCAAACATCCTCACTGTCTCTTTTGCTGCAGGCTATCAGAAGTCGAAATAGCCATTTAAGAAACAGCTGGGAGCAACCAGGAAGTAGACAGGACATATCCTTTAGGCCTCCTTTGTTTCATCGGCTTCCTTCTGTTTCTCATTTGTTCTTGCTTCCCTGAGCACTAGCAGAAGAAATGATCCCCTGCTCTGGATACTGCCAAGCGTATTGCATTTTCTTTCAAACAAACAAGCCTAACAAAATATCATCTAGCAGGACTTTCACAGAAATCCAAGGTGGAGACAGATGTCAAGCTACCTGCTGCTGCAGATAAGTCTAGATTTGCACAGAGGTTATATCTGACATGACTGTCAGCAGTGTTGAGAGGTACCATTGGAGCAAGACTTGGGGGGCAGAGGTCCAGGGCCCCACTCAGCAGAATGAGCAGAAGGGATGCTGGAACGTGGAGAACTCAATTTAAGAATGGGGAGGAAAACTGAGAGAAACTTGAAATTGATTCCTCCCCAGCTACTTTTAAAGTCAGTGGAGGCACATTATCATCTAAAGAGCCCCTCTCATAATTCTTTTAAGACCAGAGTCCAAAACTACCCACCTGAAGTACTAGTAAAATCTCCAGGGCAACTTTACACAATCCATTTCCCATGGAATAGAAAGAAGGCACAAAAATGTCATGTTGTGTAATAATCCTTTAGTTTGAAAGACAGGGACTGAGCAGACAACAGCCAAGCAGCCAATCCTAGTCCAAATCTGCTTCTGGCCCATAAACAACAGTACCATCCTTTGGACTCCAAAGCTTTGAAAGTTTAGAAAAGCTTTCAGGTTTTTTTTTTAATCTTGACAAACCTCTACTCCCAAAACAGTTCCTTCCACTTTCCCTGGCCAGGCTAGTTTTTTTTAGCTTCCTCCCTGGTGAGGGGATGAGCTTTAGGATGGCACAACTGGTTTGATTACCATTCGGGACTCTGAGGCTCATTTCTTTTTCAGGCTCTGCCTAAACTCTTGAGGCATTTCAGTTCCCAGGAGAATATTCTGGAAGGTGGCAAATTCTCTGCCTCAAAACCGAGTGAAGAATTTCAGGTGCATCCACGAATCTAGTTTTGATGCTATCTAATATTAATTTAACATTGTTGAAGGAAGCAGTTGGCTTGACCTGTTGGATCAACTCATCAACCTCTGATGGATGATTTAGAAGGATTGGTTCCGGCATCACTTTCGCTGCCCTCCCCCCCTTCTTCCTTCCAGCCCTTAGTACATATCGCTTCCTTCATCTCCACCCCCAATGAAAAATGTTCAGAGACGGTTTCACTCTCAAATTGTGGAAGAATTCTGCCACTCTCCTCAAGTATACTCAGCAAACCTCTCTCCCCTCCATGCTTCATTGACCACAAATATGGTGGACAATTTGGGGAGCCATTATCATTCACACCATACATGGGTGGTGTGATATTGTTGCCTGCCACCCCAATCTCTGAGCGATGCAAGATTCCAGAGGTTCCAGGCTCTCACCAAAGGTTCAGTTTCATCGGAATGAGGGACAGCAGAGACTGTGGTATCATTATGCTATGTGGTTTATTTACACATATATACAACCTGAGCCTACAATGGAGAGGTTCACAGCATCAACAGCCCAAGAAGGTCTTGCTTCTCCCATAGCCACGGCCTTGGCTCTCAGCAGAAATCAGGCATGTCTCTGTCTCTCAAGTGCCCAGCCTGCTTCTAGCCACTAGCTCACACAATTCAACCCTGGCTTTTGTCCTTCTAACTAGCAGCTAGTTGAAGGAGGGCCCCCACCCATTTTTCCTCTGACACGGAACCACTTCCTTTCTTACCTTAATGACCCATATTTAGAGGGCATTGCCAAGAAATGTGTCTTGTTGAATTCAGGAATTAGAAGGCACTCGGGTACAGGCTCTCCCCACACCCCAAAACTCACAACACTATGTTCAGTCAGCAGGATCATGAGGTGTACAGTGCAGTCATGATCTGAAACAAGGTTTTAACCCCACACATTTACCACAACCCTCAGCCCAGCATGTATTCTGAGTGCACTGCAGACATATAAACTAGGAAGAGTGAGAGTTATAAGCAAAGGATAACATGCAGAGATATGCATAGATGACAGCACCTTCTGTGGATGCCATAATCACCTCTACTCTCTCCTGTCCATCATCAGCAAAATAGTTTTGTGAAATATGTTTCCAGTACATTAATATACATGGGTGTAGCTAAAGGACAGAAAATATGAACCCTATGATTGATTTAGAATTAGAGGGACTTGGAGACTGAAAGGTGGAGCAAACAGAGAGCACATGGCCTTTGGAGGAAGCATGAGCCTGAAAGCAAACTGATGTATGTAACCTGAAATGAAAGAAAGGGGAAATCACAAAGGAGGAGTATACATGAGTAGCCAACAGGTGCAGGGTGAATGTCAGGTGGGCTAAAGCTCAGAAAGAGCTCAGGCTTGCAAGGGAGATTAAAAATAATTTTAAAAGGTTTCTTCGGCGATGGTCAAAGCAAGAGGAAGAAGAAGCAAGCAATAGGTCCTCTGCGTGGAGAAGATGGAAAATTGCTATTGGGTGACAGACAGAAAGTGGAACTGCTCAGCACCTACTTTGCCTTGGTCTTCACCCAAAAGGAAAGCGATGCCCAACCTGGTGATAAGAGAATAAACGGTGTAAGGAAGGAACTGCAGCCCAAGATAGGAAAAGAGGTGGTAAGGGAACACCTGGCTATTTTAAATGAATTAAAATCTCCAGGGCCTGGTACTAAAGGAGCTTGTGGATGTAATCTCAGCACCTCTGTCTATAGACTTTGATGATTCTTGGGGAACAGGGGAGGTCCCTGCAGAGTGGGCAAATGTTGTCCCTATCTTCAAAAAGGGGGGGAAAGAAGACCGGGGTAACTACCAACTGGTGTGCTTGACAATGATACCAGGGAAGGTCCTAGAACAGATCATTCAACAGTCAGTCTGTGAACACTTTGTTGTTGTTTAGTCATTTAGTCGTGTCCAACTCTTCGTGACCCCATGGACCAGAGCACTCCAGGCACTCTTGTCTTCCACTGCCTCCCGCAGTTTGGTCAAACTCATGCTGGTAGCTTCGAGAACACTGTCCAACCATCTTGTCCTCTGTCGTCCCCTTCTCCTTGTGCTCTCAATCTTTCCCAACATCAGGGTCTTTTCCAGGGAGTCTTCTCTTCTCATGAGGTGGCCAAAGTATTGGAGCCTCAGCTTCAGGATCTGTCCTTCCAGTGAGCACTCAGGGCTGATTTCCTTCAGAATGGATAGGTTTGTTCTTCTTGCAGTCCATGGGACTCTCAAGAGTCTTCTCCAGCACCATAATTCAAAAGCATCAATTCTTCGGTGATCAGCCTTCTTTATGGTCCAGCTCTCACTTCCATACATCACTACTGGGGAAACCATAGCTTTAACTATACGGACCTTTGTTGGCAAGGTGATGTCTCTGCTTTTAGAATCATAGAATCATAGAGTTGGAAAGTACCCCAAGGTTCATCTAGTCCAACCCCCTGTAATGCAGGAATCTCAACTAAAGCATCCAAAACTGATGACCATCCAACCTCTGCTTAAAAACCTCAAGTGAAGGAGAGCCCACAATCTCCTGAGGGAGTCCATTCCAATGCTGAACAGCTCTTACTGTCAGAAAGTTCCTCCTGATATTTAGTCATAATCTCTCTTCTTGTAATTTGAAGCCATTGGTTTGTCTTCTACCCTCCAGAGCAGGAGAAAACAATCTTGTTCCCTCTTCCATGTGACAGCCCTTCATATATTTGCAGATGGCTATCATATCTTCTCACAGTCTTTTCCAGGCATAGCAACCACAAGGCCAGTAGCAAGTTCTTCTAACATCATCAGTCAGGACACCTCCATACAATATTTAGTGCTGAATTAATCTAGCACCACTTTAAGGATGTTCACTGGTTCCTCCCCTCATACAGTCTATGGGTGACTTTGTGCATTTCAAAGGCATTAGGAGCAGGACATTCACTGTTGCAGCACTTGCCTTATGGAAATCCCTTCCTACTGACCTTAGATAAGCACCAACTGTGTTAAACTTCCTTCAGAGTTTTCTGTTTCCATGGCCTTTCTCTGAAATGTGACCCCAGCAACATGCAACATTGATCAATGTGATTTTATTTTATTCCGAATTTCATGTGGCATATTGCATTCTTCCGTTGTATGCTGCTCTGGTTTTTTTAAATGTGTGTAATTAATTAACTAAAATAATGTTTTTTATTTTATTGCAACTTGTGAAGTGCACGTGTGTTTGATGAATTTACTGTTGCATTTTTCTCTGTATGACAGAATCCAGTATAACAATTTTATATGCCATTTGGTTGTATTTGAGTTTATTTCCAGTGGACATTTTATTTTTATTTTTTGTATTTATGGGGAAATCTTTGGCTATGATATCTATCACTGGAAAACAGTCACACTGGTTTATTGTTTTGGGTACAGAAAGGATGGTACAAGAAGAAGAAGTCAAAATTAGACATTCTATTAACAGGTGGAGCCTTCCTGTTGGCTGTAGGTGCAGTATGCAGGTGTCAATATCTGAAACAGATACACAAGAATGCAGGACACTGCTTTCTCTAATTCCTGAATGGTGTATGTGTGTGTGCATGAGAGAGAGAGAGAGTGCATCAGGGTAAGTTGTAGGCAAGAGAACAGAACCAAGTCATCTGGACTGCAGCAGAGCAGAGCACTCACTTTGCTTTTGTGATGAGAGAAGGATTGCATTTCGTTGAGAAGGTCTCTCTCCCAGCTCATCCAAGCAAATGACCAAATAACTCACAGCATTTCCAGACTGCCACTCTTTCCCTATTCAATCACATACTGGCAGGTTGCACAAGGAAGTTGATTTGGAACTCTTGCGTAACAAAACCCACCCGCTATTTTTTTTGCAATAAGGAAAGTGATGGCAAAATGCACTGGGGAGCATGAGATGATAACATTTGCTCGAGGCAACATTGTCTAACCTCCCTGCAGACAAATCAGAATGAATGATTGATTTAACAGCCATTGCTGTTACCCTTGATGCAAGCATAGCAAGATGACTGCTCAATAAAAGGTTGCTTCCTTTGCCTGTCTTAAAACATACAACATTCAGTTTCACTGGATGGTCCCACGTTCTGGTATTACGAGAGAAGAAGAAAAAACCTCCTTATCAACTTCTCCATACCATCCATGTGTAAATTTATACACTGTTATTCGTTCCCTTCCCTAAACTAATTGTTGTTGTTGTTTAGTCATTTAGTCGTGTCCGACTCTTCGTGACCCCATGGACCAGAGCACGCCAGGCACTTCTGTCTTCCACTGCCTCCCGCAGTTTGGTCAAACTCATGCTGCTAGCTTCGAGAACACTGTCCAACCATCTCGTCCTCTGTCGTCCCCTTCTCCTTGTACCCTCAATCTTTCCCAACATCAGGGTCTTTTCCACGGAGTCTTCTCTTCTCATGAGGTGGCCAAAGTATTGGAGCCTCAGCTTCACAATCTGTCCTTCCAGTGAGCACTCAGGGCTAATTTCCTTAAGAATGGATGCGTTTGATCTTCTTGCAGTCCATGGGACTCTCAAGAGTCTCCTCCAGCACCCTAAACTAATAAGCCCCAAATATTGTAGCTTCAGACTTTTCCACACAGGGAAGTTTTCCCAGCCCTTCGGTCATTTTAGTTGCCCATTTTCTGAACTTTTCCAAGATCTACCATAACATTTTGATGTGCAGCAGAAGCCCCAGAGTGAACTGCTAATCATTCCTGTTGCCAGTCACTGCTCTCTCCACACCCCTCTTCATTGGAGCAGGAACAGGGAGGCCAGATTCGGCCATAGGTCCTCCAGTTGATGATCCCCAAACTAATGTGCATCCAGGACTATGAGACTGTAAATCTCATTTTCCTGTTTTGAATAATACTGATACACTTCCATATAGCAGTAATAGAATTCACGCAGAATACTGTATGCAAAGAGAGCAAATCTAGATGGGACCTAGCTGAATTTCCGAAGAAGAAGAAGAAGAAGAAGAAGAAGAAGAAAAAGAAGAAGAAGGAAGAAATACAGCCAGAGCAAATAAACCTGCAGTCTTCTCAAACTCAAGCAGGCCTTTGTTTTGAAGAGTTGCTTATCTAGATGGAAGCCCTTTGAATGAACAATAAAGTGAAGTAAATTTTAAGTACAGCATCACAGAGTCTCTCTGTGCGTTCTTTATCCAAAGGACTCAGGAGGACACCTTTAGAGGAACAAGATCTGAAGTGCAATCTGGAAGAATTCAAGGGTACAACAGTATTGAAGATAATCAGATTCCGTTTCAAAGGCAAAAAAGAAAAGAAAAAAGTAATGAGACGCTCATGTCTGCTGGTTGGTGATGCAGGGATAAATGAATCATTTAAGCTGTAGTTCTCTATAGACCTACCTGGAAGGTTAGCCTTAGTCGGCTCGGTGGAGCTTACTTCTGAGTAGACATGCACAGGATTGTACTATTCAAGTTCTACCTCCACACCTGTATTTAAATAACATTTAAATATAGGATGGCCTTGGATCCAAGAATCCCTGCTGTGGGTCTGGCTGGCTCAAACTGTTTGCATGAAGCACATTTCCCAGGAGAAATCCAGCAAGCTCTGAAATCTTTCTAAAATGGATCTGAGGAAGAGTCACCTAATCCCTTGGTGCTGGTGTGATGGAAATTATTTGGGTCACCAAAACCTGGACTTGATCGTGCCGTTCTAAAGGCACTTATCTGACTACCACCCTCTCTGAAGCTGACATCTCTCTGTTGAGTGGCCAGGGATAATTAGCCGGATTATATGCATTTGGTAGGGAGAGCACTGTTTTTAGCATCACAGTGCACTGGGAGGGCTCCTCTTTCTCTAGCCCCCTCCTCTTTAATTTTATGCCAGGATCTCTGTAGGAAGAAATCGCCTTGTCACCCAGCCTCTCCTATCAAAGGAGCGCACATGTGCTCTTTATTCTCCCCTGGTTTCATTGTCTTTTTTTGGTGCCTCCCTCTCCCTCTCCCTCTCTCCCTCCCTCCAAAAGACAATCAAGACAAATGAAGACTTCATCACCATGATCCCGGCCAGGACATCTGGGAAGGAATGGGAGAGAGACAGAGGCATGCACAGCAGAATAGCTAGAGAGAAACTGTGACAGCAAGTCTGCGTCATTCTGGGATGTGGGGTTTCGAAGCAGAAGTGAAAGTGGTAGCGTTGCCCGTAGGCAATGAGGCTAGATAATGACAGGAAGAGGGGGGGTGAAGGTCCCTGAGGGCCATTGTGATGGAGGAAAGGGAAGGCAAAAAGAGGCGTCTGCACAGGCAGTTGATAGGGGTGTGTTTGTGTGTGTGTGTGTTTGAGAATGAGGGTCCTTGCTGGAATTTGCAAAATGACTTTTCTTGCCAATTGCTATGTGTGTGCTCTCTTCTCTCCCATAGGGAAAAAAAATTGCTCTTGAGGGATACTACTAGCAGTTTTTAATCCACATTAAGGAAGGAAAGATTAGTAGTGGCTGTTGCTGATCAGGTTGCGTTTTCTAAGGAGTCTGAAGCCTGTCTAAAGCGTGGGGCTTGGAAGTCTTTCCTACTGATCCCAGGTGTATAAAAGTTGGTCATTTCGTATCCATGGCTTGTGAAGGGAAGATGCTAAGCATATGCCGAAAGCCACTCTTTTCTGAGTGTTTCTTATGTTTCAGGACATATGACTTGGCCACGGGAACAGACTTACTAAGGAGACTCATGTTTAAGCCTAAATGGGATCTCTGGAAAGTCTTCAGTTGCGAAGAAGAGGAGCTTTAATTAAACCGGTTTGCAAAGGGAGTCCTTCGGACTTGATGGTGGCGTAGCCCAGAGGCAGAGCACAATGCGAAAGGTTCCGGGTTCAATCCCAGACATTTCCAGTCAGGGTTGAGAGAGACTCATTGTCTCCAGTTGACAATACTGAGGGAGAAGAACGAATAGTCTCCTCGCTATAAACCATCTCCTTATGTTCCCAAGTGGGAGGGCGTAGCACTTGGAAGAAAAGGCGCTCTGCACACGCTCAGAGGTGCGGGATCAATAATATGTCATTGCCATCGCTTAAGATTTCCAGAGAATATGAGCCCCGAGGTTCTGGGGCGGGCCTCTTGACGGAGGACTCGCTGCCGCCCCAACTCTCGCTAGAGAGAGAAAGGACAACATACACCCACAAGAGAGGCCCTGAAACCATGTTGCAAAATAAAATTAAAAATTAAAAATCCTCCTGGGGCGGAGTAGCGGGGCGGAGTCAGCCAGGAGAAAGAAGAAGAAGGAGAAGAAGAGGTGGGGTTTGGAAGCCTGTTGCCCCCTGGAGTGGAGGGAAAGGGACTTGGGAGCTAAGGGAACTTGCGCGCGTCCTGCGTCTGAGCGCGCCACGCGTTTGGCAACGGGAGAAACCGACGCGATGTAGGATCGGGGCGGCGGGGGTTTGGCTCAGGGGATCGGGGCCCCAGCCCAGCCCAGGCTCGCCCCCTCACCTCCTCCTCTGCTTTGGTCGATTGGCGTCTGCCAGGCTCCCTCGCTGGCTCTCCAAGGCAAGCAGCAGGCACATCGAGCGTGTGGCTGGGAAGAGCGGGTGCGCCGGTGGCGGTGGTGGTGGGTTCGCTTCCCTCCCTCTCCTCCTCTCCACTCCACCCCGCTCCTCTTCTTCTCCGTCTCTCTCTCTCTCTCTCTCTCTCTCTCTCTCTCTCTCTCCACCCCCCACCCCGCCTCTCCTCCTTTTCGCGGCTGTGTGATCTCTGGACAAGGCGTTTAGTGACGGGGGAACGTGCTACCAGGCTTAAAGTATGGCAAGCAAAGATGGTTTCTGCCAAGGAGCCAGCGATCGCGATGCCTTGGGGTCTGTCTGTCACCTTCCTACACTTCCTGTGCCTGACGACCTGGTGAGTAGCAGGGCAGCATCCCCATCCCACCCCTCCGTCCAATTCCCTGGCACCCCTTACTTGATGCCCCGGATTTGGGAAGGGGAGAGAGAGAGGAAGAAGGTGAGTTGGCGAGGGCTAAATCAAAGCTGCCACCTCTCTCTCCCCGCCTCTCCTTTCTTCTTGCCTCTTTCCCACTAAAATGCTTTTGTGCTTCCACCCCCCCCCACTCCCTTGTAGCCTCACCGTGCTCCCGGGACAGCTGAAAAAGGAGGAGAAATTATGGCCGGAGAATTTCACGCGCATCCTGGACCGTCTCCTGGATGGTTATGACAACAGGCTGCGTCCTGGATTTGGGGGTATGGTTACTGTGTACGGTCCCTGCTGTCTGTGCTGAGTCTGCCTGTGTGTCTTGTCTGTGGGGGAAATTCGCCTAGGTATGCTTCTGTGCCTTTCCAAACCAAAACAAAAACAAAGTAATGATGATGGTTGATTTTCTCTTGTTGTGTGCCTTCCACAAACCATGTTGAACCCATTTCCCTCCTCCAGCTCTGCTATATCTGATCACTTGGATGGGGAAGGGGGGGGGAGAAAAGGGAGGGAGAGCCTTCTGATTCTTTACATCCCCCCTCCTACAAAAAAAAGAGAACCACATTCCAGATTGTGGCACCCAAAGCTGCTCCTTAGAAACGCCACAGCCACCCACTGGTTCTAGCACAGCTGCTCAGACCAGTTTCCTGGGTCCTGTTTTGGATTTCGGTGGCAGCTTGTCAATCAAAATTCCGCTACATGCTTAACATGAGCAGGGAGGAAGTTTGGTCTCCTCCTCCGAGTTCACATCCTTGGCGATCCAGCAGTGGCAAGGCGGCTCCGGGGAACCTTCCTCCCTGCCAGTTTCGGCTACCTCCTCTCCCCTGCCCCTCTCTGATTCCGCCACATTAAGCAGGGAAAACAGGGATTTAGCAGCTGGGCCCCCATTCCTCCCCACCCCCCCGCCCAACCTCATCTGCAGATTGTGTACATGGTGGTAGGAGAGAAGTTGAGAGTTGGTTGCCTGGATCCTGCCACTTTGGGGGCAGCAATCGCTTGGCATTCTGTCAAAGGAGAGCAAATGCAGCTGCTGCTTCTGATTAAAAACACACCCGCACACTCCGGCAGTGAGGCTATGGGAGGGTTTTTTGGTTTTTTAAAAGAAATCTTGCACCTGCATCTGATGATCTTGGCAACAACGTTCACATCGAAAGCCCCATCCTTTGCAGGCGGTAGCAGCAGAAAGTGGAACGCCCCCTTCTTTAGCTCGCATTTATGCCCCCTCAAATTTTTTAGCTCTCGACCAATACATGGGGACCTCCAGATTTTGTAGCAGCCGCTCATCCTGGCTTTGCTTAATTGCTGCCCTCGCCGCTGCATTAATTATACTTGTTCATTTTTCTGATTTAGGAGGTTGGGTGGCTGAACTTTGAGTCAAGCCATGGCCAGATTTGTGGGTTGGATTTGTGACATAGGAGGTGCAAAAAGTCCCACAGGATCAAGCAACACCCCGCCTCCCCTGTGCTTCCATGACAAAGTGTTGAGGGCTGGCTGCAGCTCTTCCTTGTTTCTGGAAACGGGCATGTGTCAAAATGTAGGATGAGGCGATGGAGTTATTTCGGAGGCTACTATGCAACCAGCACTGAGCAAAGACTTTGCTGAGGCTTGTTCTGTGAAAACATTGTGCTTCTTTCTTTAAGTGCTTAGTTTAGACATGTGATACACCTACGCTGGCATCTATGCCGGTAATTTCCAGATATGCTGTTACCCAGTGCAGTCATAATGGGAAGCAACTTGGCACTATCAGTTCCTGCTTATTTTAGACATCTTTTCAGTAGAGTTGGGCTGCTCTGAGGTCTGTTGAAGAACACGAAGCATAGATGAAGTTAACCTTATGAAAACATGACACTCAACCAGCGACACGATGGTTTTCTTGTCTCTTTTATACATTTCTCTCCAGCGTGCATGCACAGATATTGTCTGATCAGAAATCACATAGATGTTTTGCATGTGTTTTTGTGAGATGATAGCTTTTACTTGATCCACTTTGGTTGGCATAAGGTTCTGGAAACTTTTGAGTTACAGTAGAAAACTTTACCAAGAAGATTAAAGGCAGCCAATTTTTTCTAGCTCAGCTCCAAAGAACCGTGGCCCAAGTTAGACATAAAGAGAGCTTTTGGATTTGTGGTTCTTGAACAGCAGCTCTCCATGTCACATGGCAAAGTCCTTTTGAGGGAGATTATGAAAGTGGTTTGTGATACTGGATGCAGGACTAGTCTGAGATATTTTGCTGCCTGAATCCAAGGACAATAAGATGACCAGACTGGTAGCTGGATCTTATTTCCGACACTGGCGATGGGGCATTATGCTTCCATAGAGAGCAACAGACTAGCTTAGGGAATGCAGGCCAGGTCAGGCAGCAAACACATCTCTGCCCCCCAGCAACTTGCTGCCACTCCCTGGCTCTCATGATTGGATACCCGAGGAAGCTGCCCCACACTGTCCAATGGTAGGGCCAGTCCTGATGGCATAGGAGACTACAATTCAAAGGGATGGGGAGGAATCAAAAAGTATACTGGACCCAACTGCTTAGGCACAGTATGAACTTATGCATGTTGTTCAAAACTAAGTCTCACTATAATCAGTGGGGGTTGCTGTCAAGTAAGTGAGTTTAAGACCGCAACCCTAAAACAGTTCTTTTGCCTATATGTGGAACAAAATCAAACAACTACATGTAATGTTTAGAATATTTTCTCTCATCCCAACTATTTAATCGCTTCAAACATGCATGTTTGCTTATTGAATAGCACACATGGGGCTTAAAGAGCTTAAGGTCTTTGAGTTATATGATGTTCTACTGACCCAAGAACTCAAAGGAATTGCTTCCTGCTAGTCTGTCCCCCGGCCACGTATCTTAAAAATGTTTAGAAGGCTAAAAAGGTGTACACACACAGTTAAGTCCAGTCGCACCAGAAGCGGTTTAGTCATGCTGGCCACATGACCCGGAAAGCTGTCTGAGGACAAACGCCAGCTCCCTTGGCCTGAAAGCAGAGATGAACGCTGCACCCCAAAGTCAAATTCAACTAGACTTAACCATCCAGAGGTCCTTTACACACACACACACACACACACACACACATACTCAAAATGATAACTTTTTTGTCTCTAAAGTGAAGCAAACATTTGCATTAATAAGCAACTAGAGTCCCTACATGACTGAGAATCAGCTCCAGAAGTGTTGAATGAACAGATGTATCAGCTTCTGGCTCCACAATGATGTGTCCCACAAACCATAGCTGGCCTGCTAAAATGCATGATCTCATCTATTTTACATCTTGTGCAGATTTCATAGTCACCTGAGAAAGAGGCTGTTAATCTTTCTGGAATAAATGCCAATTTTAGGGTCCCATAAATGATTATATGTCACATTATCTATCTGAGGCACATAAAGTCATATAATTGAGAGGTACCCTCAGGGGCCATTTGATGGTTGGAGAGTCAGTGGTTCAGATAAATAGGAGTATTGCTACACAGGATTCACACTGAGATGACTCTAGATTGGGGTGGGATTCCTGTGACTAAAAGATTGCACACATGACGGTCTGCCTAATTTCAAAGTAGGGCAGCCATCACCAACAACATAAAGAAAAAGAGTAAATGGATAACATAAAAATAGTTATAAAGGGCAGAGATTCGCATATAATTTTCATGGGCTGATAGAGTCCATTTTAGAAATAATTGCTATAATTTAAATACATCTCACCAGAGTGGAGAAGACTGTGACCAGGTGACTTGTCTACTTGCTCATCTTCTCTCCTAATGATAACTGCTGATGGACAAGTTCTGCCTTCACTTAAGTATATATTTAAATTGGGTCACACTGGGCAGCAGGGGTGCCATCTTGAATAAAATATTGGAGTGGCAGGTAAGGCCCACCCCACATAATCACTCACAGGACGCGATGCACACACACCAATTGAATGGCAATGCCCATCAACTTTGGGGGCCACCCTGCCCCCCTCAAAATTTTTATTGGGTGGTGGGCAAAGGGACCTTAGCTCCTCGGAGTTGTCTCCTATGCAGAGGAAGGTGCTTCCATATAGAGGAATGCTCTCTGTAAAGTATGGCGCATGGGTGTTCTCTGTCAAAATCCCCCTGCAAACAATTTGTTCAAACCTGTGGGAAGAGTGACCTGTTCCTCACCAGTGACCTGCTAGGCATGGGGTGGAGGAGGGCTGGCAGAAAGAGAGGGGGAAAGGGGTGATTTGATCCATTTTCAGTTCCTAACCCTACCCACTGCTGGCTTTGACCCCACCCACAGCTGGCTTGCAGCCCCTGAAAGATAAAAAGGTAAAGGTAAAAGACCCCTGACAGTTAAGTCCAGTCGGAGACGACTCTGGGGTTGCGGCGCTCATCTCGCTTTACAGGCCGAGGGAGCTGGCGTTTGTCTGCAGACAGTTTTCCCGGGTCATGTGACCAGCATGACTAAGCCGCTTCTGGCGCAATGGAACACCGAAACCAGAGCAGCAAATGAAAACACCGTTTACCTTCCCACCACAGTGGTACCAATTTATCTACTTGCACTGGCATGCTTTCAAACTGCTATGTAGGTTGGCAGGAGCTGGGACCAAGCAACGGGAGCTCACCCCGTCACAGGGATTCAAACCGCCAACCTTCTGATCGGCAAGCCCAAGAGGCACAGTGGTTTAGACCACAGCGCCACCCGCACACCCCCCCGGAAAGATGGTGACCCTTAAAAGGAGAAAAGGTTGTCCACCCTGGTCCAACATGGGGCAGATAGTGGATATTTGGGCTGCTTCAACAATTACAGTTATAGGTTTACACCTTAAGGAGAAATGTGTGTAAATGATACAAGCATGTGTTTGGAAACACTTTGTCTAGTACAGGTATGTCCGCTTGAGAGGCGAAGGTGTATGTTTGATGGCAAGCCCGGGTTATAACACCATCCCTGTACTCTGTAGGCTTGGTAGGCCCTACTCCAAGGGGCTTACAACCTCAAAAGAGACCCAAGCGGAACAGCAGAGGCAGAGGAAGGAAATTTAGGTAGGGTAAACAGGAGAAGGATGTGCAATTATTTCAAGTGCATGTACTTATTTTAGCTACATGTGACTGACAATGCAATCCTAGGCACGTCTCCTTGAAAGTCAGTCCCACTAAGCCTTATTGCCGGCCGGGTGTGCACAGGACTGCAGTCTTAGATGCAGTAGTAGGGTATTGTGAATAGGGGTTTGTTCCAAAGGCTTTGCAGAAAAAGAAGAGCTTTGAGGAGGGATCTGGAGGAAGTGAAGGTAGTTGGCTTCCTAGGTGTATTCTAGGAGTGGATCCTAGGCAGCCAGGGAGAAAAGATGGAGGAGTTTCAGGGAGCATTTGGACAGCTAAGGGCGGTGAAGCTGGATAAGTGAAGGTTTGTTGGGATACAAGCGCAGAGAGATGAGGACTCTAAAGGTAAGAACAAGACACTTGTGCAAAATATCATTACGAACAGGAAGCCAAAGCAGGAATTTAAGGATGGGCTTTATATGATCTTGAGTGATGAGGAAGGTGGAAAGTTTTGACAGCAGAATCATGGATGGACATAATGGACCAAGATGAAACAGTGGAAGACCACTTCAGGTGTGGAATGGGGCAGCTGATTCTTGTTGAATGAAGATCCAGCAGCAGATCTGGGGTTGCTGCCATGTAAATGAATGAAGCAACCTTGTAAACTAGGAATGTTGGAGAACTACCATGCATAAGATAGGGTTTACTTTGTGTTCACATTTGGAATGGAAGGAAAATTCAATGAAAGCCCTAGAAAGAAAACCTTTGAAATCCAAGTTGGGTGTTGGGCCATTTTTGTTGCTTCTTTGTCCAAACTCAAAAAGGTGAACAGTTTTTAAAGCTCCTAAGAAGCAGATTGAATAAAAGACTCTGATTTGGGGAGATAGTATCTAGCCTTGTATTGTCCATTTTTGTAGTAAAGGTACCTTTCTGCTGAACTAGAAAGAACTCATATTATGATTTAATCGTGATTGTATGGCAGTGTGCAAAGGTTTGTTTCTTTGACATAACTCAGAATAGCAGCAGCTGATTAATCATTAAAATATTCTTTTTCTTCTTTGTTTTTTTCTTTTTTGCTGACAAACTTTTATGCCAAAAGTGTTTCACTTTTTTCTTTTCTTTTTTTTTGGAAATCATGTAATTCACCAATGAACACATAAGTAAACAAATGTCAGAGAGCATGGCAAGATTCAATGAGAAGAGAACATTTAATGTTAAAGTTGTGTTCCAGTTTGACAAGCAATGGAATATTTAATGTCCCTGCTGAATCATGTTCTCCAGCACATTTAGCTCTAGTTAAATTCTGTACAGATTTCACAGGAGCTGGGTTGACATGTCACAGATTCTGTGAAAGCACCTGTGTGGCAGTTGTTATTATTTTTTAAAAAAACCCAGAATCATAGAATTGTAGAGGGTACCCAAGGGTCATCTAGTCCAACGCCCTGCAATGCAGAAATCTCAGCTAAAGCATCCATGACAGATGGCCATCCAACCTCAGTTTAGAAGCCTCTGCTTAAACCTTCTTTTTAGTTTCATTTCATTTCATTTAAACCTTTTATTTAGTGTTAAGGGAGGGGTAGTATCTCTTGTTGGGGACACATTGTGCTCCTTCTGGGGGAGTTTGCCCACCTTTGGTCCACACCCTGCACTCAGCTTTCACCTGTGACTCCTAGAAGCTGCCAGCATGTGACCATGGCCACACCCAATATAAAAAAGAAAACTTATCTGCAAGGGCTTAAGACCTATATGTGTTGTTTTTTTAAAAAAAGAAAAGGTGAAAGCACTTTCTTGAGGGGGCTGGGAGAGACTACCAGTGAGGCAACTTTTCCTCGCCCCATCTCTCTCTCTCTCTCTCTCTCTCTCTCTCTCTCTCTCTCCATTGGACTACAACATTATACCTCTATCATACTTCTGCCTGTGTCCATTTAGCTTAGTTTCAATCTCAACCCTAAAGGTAAAGGGACCCCTGACTGTTAGGTCAGTCGCGGACGACTCTGGGGTTGCGATGCTCATCTTGCTTTATTGGCCAAGGGAGCCGGTGTACAGCTTCCGGGTCATGTGGCCAGCATGACTAAGCCACTTCTGGCGAACCAGAGCAGCGCACGGAAACACCATTTACCTTCCCGCCCGAGCGATACCTATTTATCTACTTGCACTTTGACGTGCTTTCGAACTTCTAGGTTGGCAGGAGCAGGGATTGAGCAACAGGCGCTCACCCCATTGAAGGGATTCGAACTGCCGACCTTCTGATCGGCAAGTCCTAGGCTCTGTGGTTTAACCCACAGCGCCACCCGTGTCCTAACCCTGATTAAAAGTGCACTGGCATGAAAAATGTAGAGGCTGAAACAGAATGGGTTGACTTCTGCTGATAAACACCTTGGGTAGGATCCGGCCAAATTTTAAGTCACATGGATTTCCTGCTGAAATTAATGGCCCTTAAATGTGTCGGCTTGGCTGGGCTGTGCCCCTTGTGAAATATAAATAAAATCCGACCGGTTTATTACAACAAATCATCATGTAACATTCTGCTTTCTAGGTTAGAGCAGAATGACGTGTAAGCGTCTGCTGAAGCCTGAATGTCTTCCAAACTCCCCACCTCCCCAACCCGATAAATATTTCCTTATCAGTAATTTTGTCGTACAGTTTTCCTGGAATGTGGAGATACTGTTGGCTTTCTGTTGATTTCCTAAAGATGGCATGTACCCAGATTCAAAGAAATCTGAAACCATCTTGGCTTCAGTAGAGATTTCATCAATTGCAACATTGCCTTAGACTCTTAAAATTAGTCCCTGTCAGTACACCGCTTAGCATTTGTAGGGTAAAAGGCTGAAAAATGAGTAGGAAGTGCTATCAGCTTGCTCATCTAGAGAAGGGGATTTGTACCACCCTGCTTTTTAAAAGTGGGCGTATGAATGGTTCTAACAGCCATCAGCCCAGCCCCCAGGCACTGTGAGTTCCAGCCACCCCTGGTTATCCACCCTCTGCTTCTTCTAGGAGTTCATACCCAAAAGAGGTATTTTAACTGGAAAACATAGAGAGACAGAGGCATTAAAAGACAGTCAATACAGAAAAGAAACCAGATGATAAAAAAACTCCTAACTTCTCTTTCGACTCTTCATTGACAATAATTTGCTGGGCTTGAACTTATAATTTTGGAAGTATGAATGTCCATTCAATTACAACAGGATTGGAACCATGATAGGTATTCTCTTCTCCAATCCTCTCTCCATCCCCCCTCTCTTCCTCCATGCTTTAGAGGTGAATTTTACTTCAAATCTCTTGATCAGCCAGACCAGTGGGTTGGGCTTTGTGTGCCCAGCCACAGACCCCTCACCCCCCTGGGAGCCAAGGCCAGGAAAAACAAGACACAACACAGTAGGATTAAAATTAGGCCACAACTTTATTAAATTTCAGATGTAGGAAACCTTGGCTTAGGCATTGGGCGGTTATCCCTCTTAGCCCCCAATTGGGGACTGAGGCTGAGCAAGGGTGAGGCAGGAAATATGGGGGAGACTGCAAAATGGATGTTTACGCAGCTGCCCCCCTCCAGTTCTGGGAGTTTGACCATACACCGAGCACTCGTGGCCAGTGACTCCCTGCGAAAACCCCTTTAACGGGGCCCTGCTAACAGCACTGCACGAGGGGTGCGTAACCACGCTACCCCTCCATTCCATTGATGGCCTAAAGAATACCACCCAAGGCCTAAAATCACCAAAGTTGTGACAATTGCTATGGGGAAGGCAAAACCTGCAGAATCTGGGAAACAGCAACCATCGTGCGACTGCAGCAATGCCCACGGACCTGAAAAGGAAAAGGTTAACCTGCAACAACCTTAAAACAGTTAGAGAGAGGGTAGGGTGGGTGATAAGGGATGCGGGTGGTGCTGTGGGTTAAACCACAGAGCCTAGGACTTTCCAATCAGAAGGTCGGCGGTTCGAATCCCCATGACGGGGTGAGCTCCTGTTGCTCGGTCCCTGCTCCTGCCAACCTAGCAGTTCGAAAGCACCTCAAAGTGCAAGTAGATAAATAGGTACTGCTCCGCTAGGAAGGTAAACAGCGTTCCTGTGCACTGCTCTGGTTCGCCAGAAGTGGCTTAGTCATGCTGGCCACATGACCTGGAAGCTGTATGCCAGCTCCCTTGGCCAATAAAGTGAGATGAGTGAGATGAGTGCTGCAACCCCAGTCGGCCAGGGGTCCCTTTACCTTTACCTTTGGTGGGCAAGGTGAGCAGTCATTACTGTTACTTGAAGTGACCAGCCAGTGTGCAAGTTAACTTCGAAGATGGACCTTCCTTCTCTATTGTTAAAAGGGAAATGAAGCAGGAAAAGAGTCATTGTCTCTCAGGACATAGATATTCCTTAAAGATCACCAATTATTCACCTGGCAGGAAGTGTATTGTGATGGAATGGGCATTGAGTGACTCACCCACGCCAAAAAAGCAAACAAAGATTGGTTCGAGAACTGTCTTACACTCAATAACCAGCACTTTGGACCAGCTTTTAATTTATAGCTAGATAGGATCTGAAAATGTAACTAAATTGTGTTTTCTCTGCGCTGTTACCTGAAATATTTTTGTAATGTTGATGGAGAGTAAGTGATTGGGATTTTCATGCTGTCGTGCAATTACAGTTCTACTATAGTTGGATACCTTTTTGGACATCTGGAGGGCTTTTATCGACTTATAAGTACAATCTTGGATGGAAGTACTGCTTGATATTGTATTATCAATGTGAGTTGACAGTGTTTATTGGCACTATGTATTTTTCTTTCCTTTTTTAATATCATGTTTACTTGGTCTTTTTTCCCCTCAAGAGTTTTTTGTCCAAGAGTTTGGAATCTGTGATTTTCAGGATACCAAGGAGGGATTTAGGCTTGTGTTTAAAGCTATGCTTAAGGAAAAAAACTATTGGATAACTAGCCAGAATATAAGCTGATGCAGGCCATATGATAAATATAAATTCACGTGACTCCTGTAAAACATTGTCAATCATAGCTTCTGATCTCAGTAAGAAAGGAATTCAATTTGCTGTAGGTTTCTTTCAGAAACATACATAATTTCTGGCTTCTCCTTCAACTGTATATGTTATAAATGACTTATATAATAACGTGAAACAAATGCCAGTCACGAAGCATGACTAGTTTGGTAATTTAAAGGGGGGAAAATAAGAATTTGAGACTTGAAGTGAGATATTAAAAAAAACCTATGTTTCATATTTAATTATCAATATTTGATAGCCTATATTTTGTAATCGCATACCACTTGCTATTTTATGTTTGTAATCTGCTAGCTGCTGTTCCTTAATAGTCAACAATTTATCACTCAATAGTAATTGTTTAAAATCAGCATTGGTTTGTGCTAAAAGGAGTCACATTGGTTCTTTGCAACATCTGGAACAAACTCATTTATATCAGTCCTTCATTACAACACTTTACTGAAATACAGAAACATGGTCCTGGTTTGTACATCACAGTAAGCCATGCCAATCCCTGCATGCTTTGATCCTTCCCACTGGTGTGTGGGAGAAACAAACCATGATCCCTGGCTTAGCAGCATAATTTGTTTCTTTCCAATCAAACCTAAATCTGTAGCCAGAGTTTGCTCTTGATTTATTCTTCAGGGTTTGTTTGGAGTGAAACAAATTATGATACCCAGTTTGAAGGTAACATTAAGCCAGGGATTTGGGTTTGTTGCTTCTGCACACAAGGCAGGTGAGATCTGTACATTCACAGCAAAGCATTAACTCTGGTTAACCGTGGGAAACAATATTTATTGGCCACCAGCTATATTTCAGCCAGTATTAAGGAAATGGTTGTATTTAGAAAAAAGAGAGAAGATGAGATAAAAGGAAAGACTTCTTGTCATCAAAATCTTTGGCTTAACAATGTTGCTTTGGAAGAAGTTGTTATCTTGGTTTGCCTCAAATATATATATATATATATATATATATATATATATATATATATGTATATGTATATGTATATGGCATATTTCACTGAGACAATTTAGGATGACGCACAGCACTTGTTCATTAGCAGAAAACCTGACACTACATTATTCCAACGTGCAAAAGCCAGTCAGACTCTTGCCAACTACATTATATGATCATGAAGTATAGCTGTAAGTTAGAAAGCGTGAGTCTCACTCAAATAATTTAAGTGGAATAGTTTGCTGATAGATTCCTGCCAATGGGTTAATCTTTCCTTGCATGGAAGACGATACTGTGTCCTCACATGGTTGATTCTGTGCCTGGTGCAGGGACCTGCAGAAATAGCTCCGTTTATGGAGCCTTCCCCTGCTAGCTCCTCCTAGTTAAGAATTGGGGGAAATGGAGCTGTCCATCTCCTGCTGATCTTCTGTATAGCAAGGCTTTGGAAAAACCTTTCAGCACGTTGGACAAGGCACGCATACAGACTGTCCGAAAGAGCTTTATTTATCTCTATAAAAAGAATAGGTACATACTCTTTGATTTAGGAGGGCATTTATGAATAATGAACTTATGCATTGTGAACTTGGAATTTTCTTTTTCTACTGACTGCAGGATTTACAGCCTCTATGTATTTTTTTTATATAAAAAAACATTTTATTGTATTTCGGCTATCATGCTAGCAGCAGTTTGATACATCAGCGATGCTTTATTATCTTTAATTCTGAAACACTCTGAGCTTCTCATCATGAATGTACAGGGGGAATATGAATCTGGGAAACAAGCAAAATGCCCCAAAGTCTTCAGGATTTGCCATATATTTGGAGTTGGGAGAGCCAAGACGGATGAGGCAATAACAAAGCTCTTCATGAATTAACACGCTAAAGTGTCTATTTTAATATATTAGCTCATTTTCAGATTACTCACAAAGTGAGCAAAAGTTCTTTAATAGTTTCTCAGACCCTGTGTTTGCTTTGTAGTAGGAGCGGTCATTAAAGTCAGTGGGAGTTGAACCCACCAATTTTTGCTTGGGGGACGACGACTCATATTTATAGGCTCCATGTGCACAGATGTATTGATTGGTCCTTGAAAGCCTGGCGTCTCAGCAGTAATTCACTGATCAGCCATATCTCTACCTTAGAAGCAGGGGAGGGCTATAGTTCAGTGGCAAAGCAACTGCGTTACATGCAGAACAACTGGGATAAACCCCTGCCTGAAATATTGGAGAACTACAGCTATTCAGTCTAGAGTAGATGATATTGAGTTAGATAGACCATTGGGTTGACTTGGTATAGGGCAGCTTCCTATTTTCTTAAGGGCCTTAAACCACAGCTGTTCAAACTTACAATGTCACTGTTAACTTTCAGAATGTAATTCTTTGGTTCCTGGATGGGCATCCCAGGGGTCATAGCATTCTGCTGATCTTCCTCTCCATAAACAGAGAGAGGGGTTTGCTGGTGGGGCATGAGTCTGCTCGTGGTTTCCCCAATGCATTCCTGAATGAAAGGGAGGGCTATAAAAGCCCAGCAAGACTTGGTGGTTCTACCATCTTCAATTTTCTCTCTCTCACCCCCTTTGAATTATGTTTGCGTGAGGTGCTCAATTCCTTCTCCATAGCTGAGACATGCCACCATCTCAAAACTGATGGCTAACAAAATCAATGAGCTCTCAGTAAGGAAAACAATTATCAGCCAACCATCTTGGGCCAATCTCCCTAACAGAAGGAAGGCCACTCCTTAGTAATGGCAGAAAGAAGCAGAAACGTCAGGGTTATTATTGTAACAAAAAGTGCAGTGAGCAATTCAGAAAAATGTACCCAACACTTCAGAAATGGATTTGTGAGGAGCAAATGGGGTAGCCATTTTGTGGCCGTGGGCTATATCAATTTAGGCCTCTGACCTTGTTTCTCACTACAGTGGTACCGCAGGTTACATACGCTTGAGGTTACATACGCTTCAGACTCCGCTAACCCAGAAATAGTGCTTTAGGTTAAGAACTTTGCTTCAGGATGAGAACAGAAATCGTGCTCCGGCGGCACAGCGGCAGCAGGAGGCCCCATTAACTAATGTGGTGCTTCAGGTTAAGAACAGTTTCAGATTAAGTACGGACCTCCGGAGCGAATTAAGTACTTAACCTGAGGTACCACTGTATTTATTGGTTGTTCAAGCTCATAGTAAACCAGTGTTATAATTACACCTGCTTATTTGGCTCCATACATTACCCATTGCTCAGTTCTAGAAAGGCTACCAAATCACTGCATAGTACCACTTTTTGTGCTGTATCCATACTTCCCAATGCTTTCCCCAAAGGATGGAAAACTTGTGGCCTTTCAGGTGATATTGGACCCCAGTTCCCCTCAGATTCCTACACATGAGTCTGGCAGAGACACATGCCCGACTGGCATGTTCTCTCCCTCCTGGTCGTTCGTTCGGGAGATTCAAAATCTTTCTCCAGCCCGAACATTACAGCGACTGATGCCTTAGAGGCATCAGTACACGTCAGGATCAGCAGAGTATAGGCAGCCAGTGTACAGACTCAGTAGCCCAACATTTTGGCTAAACTACGTTTCTTTACATATACACACTCGGAGCATTGTAACTCAGCTCCTTCCTCTTCAGCATCAGACAGCAAAGAGAAAGAACAAAGGACAATTGTCCTACATCACAGAAACACAGTAATACAAACATCCTGTCTCTGTCACTTCCCACAACGTGGAATGAAAATATACACCATCATGTGATATAACCAATCCCATGACTGCGACACGGGGAAAGAATCCTAACAGGTCAGTGCTAGGGAAGATGGGAATTGGAGTTCATCAACTTTTGGAGGGACACAGGTTCCATATCCCTGTCCTACTGTCATACCAAAAGTTTCACCTGAGCTGTCAATTTAGTAGACAAGCCACTATCCCCTTGAATACAAACCTTCTACAATATGATGATGATGATGATGATGATGATACAGACCAACCTTCTGGGGTTGTTGTAAGAACTACGCAGACGTTGCATGCAATGCACTTTGCCCACTTGAAGTTTGATATATACATGCCAAGAGTGATTATGGATTGGTTATTCTATAACTATAATTAGGTTTTTTATGGTTTATTTAAGTGTTAAGTGTTCTCAGGTTGGATTTGGTGGCTGTTCCTCACAGATACTGATTAAAGGATGTAGCCCTGACACGACTTACAAGTTTGCCTTCTCTTCAATGGGATTTGCAAGCTTGTAAGTATTACCCAGATGGTTGCCTTAATCTTTAACATGCCATTTTAATTGTTACTAATTTAATGCAACAGCATAGCTTATCCACTCCCACTTATCACTAGAGTTTGCTGTTCTTTCAGAAGGAAATAATCAGGGGGACTGCAGTGATGCTTATAGCCACACACAAAGCGCTCAGTAATTTCTAAGTGAAGGATTTGGGACAAAAAAAGGATGGGGGACTGGTACATGAAAGCAACCTTAACAAGAAAAGCTGAATGTGCACTTTAAAGCACACTCAGTGCACATTTAAAGCACATGGCTCCCCCACCCCAAATCCTGGGAAACGTAGTTTGTTAAGGGTGCTGGGAATTGCAGTTCTGTAAGGGGGGGTAGGCTAGGGACACGGGTGGCGCTGTGGGTTAAACCACTGAGCCTAGGGCTTGCCGATCAGAAGGTCGGCGGTTCGAATCCCCGCAACGGGGTGAGCTCCTGTTGCTCGGTCCCTGCTCCTGCCAACCTAGTGGTTTGAAAGCACGTCAAAGTGCAAGTAGTTAAATAGGTACCGCTCTGGTGGGAAGGTAAACGGCGTTTCTCTGTGCTGCTGTGGTTCGCCAGAAGCGGCTTAGTCATTGCTGGCCACATGACCCGGAGGCTGTACGCCGGCTTCCTCGGCCAATAAAGCGAGAAGAGCGCCGCAACCCCACAGTCAGCCACGACTGGACCTAATGGTCAGGGGTTCCTTTACCTTTACCTAGGGGGTAGACTACAGTTCCCAGCATTCTTCGGGGAAAGTAATGCATGTTGGATGTACTTTAAGTGTATGGTGTAGAGAAGGCAAAAAGGATGTGGATTTAGCCCTGCTTTACCAGAGAAACCTACTTAGCCAATGAGCACACACTTCACCTGCCAGGGAACGATCCCTTCCCTGGCTACATTTGACACCCACACGATCCCTTGTGATAAGTAGGAAAGAAAACTGGAGAAAAATGATACACAGTGAAATTCTGTTTGTGTTTACTCAGAAGCAGAAATGTTTTCTCTAGAGAACACTCTGGCGTTTTTAGCGGAACTCACATTGTGGTATGCCTAGGATTGCTAAGCCCCATTGAACACAACAGAGCTTCCTTCTGAGTAGGCATGCATAGGATTGCACTGAACACAGGACAAATGCCGAAATATAGCTGTCCTTTGTCAACAACAAACTGTCACTGTTTTCTGTGTTGAATATATATTATATGGTAATTTATGGACCTAATAGGTATTTGCACATGTTGCCATGCAACCAGTCCACACAGAAGGTAGGCACCCTATATATAGAAGTGAGCAAACCAGTGATATTTTAGGGAGCAGGCTAGCAGGCAGGGCCCATTACTTACGTACATCACAGGAGCCTACACAACACAAAACACTGTTGCCTTATGTAGGTTTTATTTTATTCGTTTTTATCTTATATTTTGGAAATGTACATCCACTTTTTTCCTTTAATTGTTTGGGGGGTCCCCAAGAGAGTGGGGCCCTAAGCTACAGCTTGTTTAGCTTATTCGTAAATCCGGCACTGAAACCCGTATCTCATAAGAGCAATCTAGGTGTTAGGCACAAATGAGCCTAACCAAGCCTCTGTGTTCTTTTATTTGAAAATGAAAAACATTTTTGGAAAGGCCAAGTCTGGGTGGAGGGGTGCTTATCCTATTTTCTGCTGACTGGTATTCAATTCCACTTAACTCCCTGCTCCCTGCTTTTTCCCTCTGTGGCTTTGCAAGCTTCTTGGGCTCCTGTAGCAGTGGGTGGAGCTTGGGACCATAGCTGTCAACTTACAGATTTGAAAATAAGGGACCAGCAGCCTCAAAAATAAGGGATCAGCAGCCAAAATAAGGGATTTTTTGGGCACAGCTATGTTCAACTTCTGAGCCCCTCCCAGCCAAAGGCAGAAAGCCCAGCCAGCAGCCAAACGAAGCCTCAAGCTTCTTATATATTTATTATTTTGGAGATAGTTGGTAAGTCATTATTGTGTGTACTGGGAGTTTTGCCCCCAGTCCTGATCTGTAATATGGGTTTAAATATACTGACCTACCTTAAAGGCTTCTTTTAACCATTACTGTGATGATTATACACGGAGTGCTTTGACAGCTCAGAGAAAATGTAATAATTATAATATTCCAAAGAACTTCACCCTTTGGAAAATGTGACTGCATTTACCCTGGATCAAAAGACATTTCTCTGCAGGAGTTCTAACCCTTTTTTTTTGTTTATTAAAAAATATATGATTTGATCTTAAGTTCCTTCGCCAGTAACCAGACAGATAATTGCAGCAGGGGTGTGTACGTGGGTGCAGTTAATAATAAATATAATGAGGGCTGGTTCAGGAGCTTGTGAACTGGGAAGCGACTATATCATTTGATGCTGATTGTTTTAAACTTTTTAAAATGTTGTATTTTGAATTGCTGTCACTCGCTCTGGGATGTTAGAATGAAGAATGGGTAATAATAATAATAATAATAATAATACTTGTTTAAAAGGTAAAGGGACCCCTGACCATTAGGTCCAGTCGTGACCGACTCTGGGGTTGTGGCACTCATCTCGCTTTATTGGCCGAGGGAGCCGGCGTACAGCTTCCGGGTCATGTGGCCAGCATGACTAAGCCGCTTCTGGCGAACCAGAGCAGCAGACGGAAACGCCGTTTACCTTCCCGCCAGAGCGGTACCTATTTATCTACTTGCACTTTGTGCTTTCGAACCGCTAGGTTGGCAGGAGCAGGGACCAAGCAATGGGAGCTCACCCTGTTGCGGGGATTTGAACCACCAACCTTCTGATTGGCAAGTCCTAGGCTCTGTGGTTTAACCCACAGCACCACCCGAATCCTTTAATAATACTTGCTAGTGCTTGCAAAATGTTTTGTGTGTGCTATTCATCACCTGATGAAGCCTCTAGCCCACCTTTGACCCAGTCATATTTTTACCTGCCCTATAGCTAATGTCATATATGACATGTAGTCACCAACACAGGGGTCCTTTTGGACCCAGAAGAGGGTGGAACTGTAGAAGGAATGGGGGTGGAGCAGAAGGGGTATAATGGGGTGGGGCGCACTTATATGCACTCCGTCAATATGTGGGGGGGCTGGGAATGGAACCCCCATGTGAAATCCTCCCCACCTGTATTCAGTGCAAGCTTTGACTTAAGCCTTGGTAGCCAGCCTGTTGGAAAACAAGAGAAAAATTGGAAATGCAAAGAATGTGGTTTTCTACGATTCTTCGGAGATAATTTTCATACAACAAGTGTTCCAAGAAGCCATCCGTACAATTGGCTTCATACTTTTGTTATAAACTTATTCTGCTTACCTGAAAAACAAAATTGTCAGTGTCATTTAAGCCATGAATTGAGGCTGATCGGTTTTCCAGGCAGCTGTCCAAATGGCAAAACTGGATGACTCAGATGACTGCTAAAAAGATATGGGCCTAGTATTTACCTATACATTGTCTTTCTTGATTTCTTTCCCAGGTTGGTAGTGACTGAAGTTATTACCATCTGTCTACTGCTCAGTGACCTTGGCAAAATTAGATGGTATTCTTAGCACTGTCCCCAGTGGACAGGTGTCCTGCTCACGAAATTGGCCCCAGTTGATACCTTGTTGGCATCTTTAGCTGATAGGCTGAGTGTTGAATAACAGTGAAAAGCAAATTACCTCATAATTTCTTCAAATGACCTTCTTTGAATCAGGAAGATGTCATAGATGTGGTTGCAATCTTCAGTATATCTCTCCTACAGCAATGTTTTCAAACTACTTTTCCTCTGGGGATGCTTTCTATGTAGACATCATATTTTTTTGTTTATTGAGGTGTCCCAGCACATACCTGTTGTGTAACCTCTGCATGTGGTGGCCAATGAGTTGCTTTACAGATGAACTCCCATCAGGCCAATGGTCAGGGATTGTAGTCCAACAACATCTGCAATCCAACTCCATGCTGGCTATCCTTGTTTCATGGGATTCTGGACAGGTCTTTGAGCACGGTCTCAGCTTGCGAGGGGAACTTGGCAGAGAGGTTGATATCTGCCTTTCCATCATATTAAACACCACACACTTGTCTGAGACTACTCACTGCAGAAAAGAAAAACCAATAATGGCATACAAACTTTAAGAGGAGGTTTCTTATGACCTCCCTCCCTAAGGAACATGCAGGGCCACAGCTTCAAAACCATACCAATAAAGTAGATCTATTTGGTAATGCATAAACTACTCAGCAGCAGGGCTACAGAGCTTCTGTGATTCTGAAGAACTGCCGTACAAGCATACAGTTTGACTGCAACCTGCTGAGAACTGCAGTTGTCTTTTTTAAAAATGCACAACCAAATTTCTAGGTAGTGTGGCTACAGATATATCGGCTTGAACGTGTGTGGAGAAACCATTTCAAGTCTATTATTGCAGCTACGCAGACTAAAACATCATTTTTTCTGTGCGTAGGGTGTGCAAAACGAGCGGCAAATATAAGCTGACTTCATAGTTTTGTGGCTGTGGTGAACATTTGCTCTTCTAGTTGCATGTGTGTGTAGGTTAGTTCCTTTTGTATACAGTGGTACCTCGGGTTACATACGCTTCAGGTTACATAAGCTTCAGGTTACAGACTCCGCTAACCCAGAAATAGTGCTTCAGGTTAAGAACTTTGCTTCAAGATGAGAACAGAAATCGTGCTCCGGCGGTGCAGCAGCAGCAGGAGGCCCCATTAGCTAAAGTGGTGCTTCAGGTTAAGAACAGTTTCAGGTTAAGTACGAACCTCTGGAACGAATTAAGTACTTAACCCGAGGTACCACTGTATAAACCATGCTCAAATCGTTGCACAGGTTCAAAATCCCATAGAAACACTAACAGCGAACTGAAAGATAAAAAACTTAAACTAAAAAAGGGGGAGATCGGAGAGCACCATACTTACACCCTAAATAGTTGGGACCAAAATACTTCCAGGAATAGAAGTGGCTTCATTAGGGCAAACGAGGTATTGACTCACCAATTTCAGTGTACCCTCAGTAAGCCCCAGGCTGCCTCGTTTCTTACATGCAACCAGTCAGAGGGTGGCTCTCCCTGTTATTGGCTGTGGTGCCACCCACTGCTGACCTTCCTGCCTCCCATCCTGCCAGCCCAAATGGGCACCGGTCATCACTAGCTCCAACTCTATGAGCCTGTCTGCCCACACAGAACTTTTGAGGAGCTCTGCTTGATTCCCCAGTGTGGTTAAGAGCGATAGACTCGTAATCTGGTGAACCGGGTTCGCGTCTCCGCTCCTCCACATGCAGCTGCTGGGTGACCTTGGGCTAGTCACACTTCTCTGAAGTCTCTCAGCCTCACTCACCTCACAGAGTGTTTGTTGTGGGGGAGGAAGGGAAAGGTGAATGTTAGCCGCTTTGAGACTCCTTCGGGTAGTGATAAAGCAGGATATCAAATCCAAACTCGTCCTCTTCTTCTTCCCCCCATTTGTCTGCCATACATGTTGTTGGGGGGGTGGGATTCAGGAAAAGGCTGTCTCTGTGGCAGCACCCAGTTGATTGCACTCTCTCTCCCAAGAGAGCCGTCTGTGTTGGTATTTTGCACAAAGTGAATTTTGTATGTGTGTGCGTGGTGGCAAGCCTTTCTGGTTATTGAATGCTAAAAATTTATCTTTTTTTTATAAAAAAAACTTGCTCTTTCTGTAAGCTTGCATCTCTGTATGTGTGTGCTATAAATAAATTTTATTATTATTATTATTATTATTATTATTATTATTATTATTAAATTCTGATGGTGTTCACCACCCTGGGCAACCTGGAGATGAACTGGGGAAGCAGGATATAAATATTTTTGTGTGCATTAAATGCATTATGAAAAAAGAATAACGACCATACCATCTTAGAGAAGTCCCGACTTTGCGCCTAGCGCCAGCAGTGGGACATGGTCCAGGGTCACATTCAAAGAATTATAAATGCTAAGTGTTACTTAGTGCTTTCAAGTGTTCAAAGAGATTCAGATAGGTTATATAATCCTTACGCATCACTAGGCGACACCAGTTCTTAAAGAACAGGAAGCAGCATATTAGAGATGCTCCGTAAGGTGCGCAGGACAAAGGCTCTTGTGGGCTTTCAAGGCCTCCCCGTGAATTGGGCTGAGAAGCTGAGGAGCTAGTGCAGGCAAAGAAGACTTGGAATACTAATGAATTGGAAGTCTGTTGCTGCTCTTGAGCAACCAGCCTAGATATCTGAGTAGGAGAGAGAGAAATGCAACTGCCCCCCTCCCCAGCCCACCTATAAAAGCATTTTATATTCATAAATATTTATTATCAATTTAAAGACGTAATTTGCTGGGAAGTTACAGATCTGCCTGCTCCAAATGTGCTTTTCCACACCGAAACTGTCCCTTTTCCGTTCTTCTGTTCCCAGTTTGCCTGTTATCATCTCAGCTGAAAGAGAGTGGCACAGAGTGAGGCTCGGCAGCCGACGTGAGATGGGGGGTGGGGCAGCCACTGGACACTCTCCCTGTCTGATGTGAAACTGAGTAATAATTGGATTTTGCACTCAGTTGCTTTCCATTCTTTGGAATGTTTGTTCCTCTGAGCGGTGATTCATACTTGACAGTGCCCATTGCACTGTGTGTAAAGCTCCCCTACTATTTAGCTGACATTAAAAATGCTCACCACTGAATCTATAAATAGTTCCTAGAAGGCAAACGGGGATTTTTTTAGAAGGTCCACCAAGAAGCAGCTTTTAATTTTCTCCAACCCAGCATTAGCTTGCTCTTGTGTAATAACTGTATACCTTAGCATCAGAATGTTCATCTGTACTGTGAGCAGATGTTTTTCTTTTCAATGTGGTAATAAAACAATTTCCCTCAGTAGCACCTTGTTGTGCCACTTTGCCTGGGTATGTTAAGTTCTAAACCAAAATAAATTGAGGTATTAAGGATAAGCAGGTCCTGGCTGGCATTTCATATTTGTGTCTTACACTTCAGCAGGCAAGCTGGCACCCAGGGTGTTCTGTACTGTCTGAAATGGTGTTAAATTAGTCTTTGAATTCCTAAAAATTCCCCTCACTACTTTTGGTCTCACGCTTCAGAGTATGTGTACTCCCTTAGGATTAGCTTGAGGTTCAGTTAGTAGATCTTACTATGGAAGTTTCCCATTGCTGGTTGTTTACTATACATGTTGCATGCACTGGGGTGGTTAAAAGTATATTATTATTTAATTTTCATAGTGCTTTTATGACACATGAAATTCTAGAGAACAACACATTAAAAAAGAGAGAGGAGGACTCTGCCAAAAAGAACTAACAATCAGTAGTGAAGGAAGCAGAGGGAGGGAAGCAATAGAAGGAAGGTGGGCTTTAAAAAATGCATCTATAAAGGCTTTAATCAGTGTTTTTTCAGTTGATGTGCACTGGAGCGCAGTTCCGGCACCTCTCTGGTGGGTGCCATTGTGGGCCAGCGCTCCCCACCCACTTCTTGCCTTTACATACTTCTGAGAAGCTCAAAACAGACATTTCAAGTCAAAATGCAAGTCTACACTTTGTTAAGATCTATGACTCCACCTTGAGGGATGCAGGTGGCGCTGTGGGTTAAACCGCAGAGCCTAGGACTTGCCGATCAGAAGGTTGGCGGTTCGAATCCCTGCAACAGAGTGAGCTCCCGTTGTTCGGTCCCTGCTCCTGCCAACCTAGCAGTTTGAAAGCATGTCAAAGTGCAAGTAGATAAATAGGTACCGCTCTGGTGGGAAGGTAAACAGCGTTTCCGTGCGCTGCTCTGGTTCGCCAAAAGCGGTTTAGTCATGCTGGCCACATGACCCGTAAGCTGTACGCCAGCTCCCTCGGCCAATAAAGTGAGATGAGCGCCGCAACCCCAGAGTCGGTCACGACTGGACCTAATGGTCAGGGGTCCCTTTACCTTTACCTTATGACTCCACCTAGCTCCTAGCCACATTTGGTCAAGCTATGGGGTAGAGCAAATTCGTATTTCCTTTTCTTCATTCTGTCTCCTGTGTAGCAGTGGCGAGTTTTAATCTTTCCGGCCAGGCCTCTACCATTGCACACGTCTTCTTCTTTTTTGGCGATCACTTGTAGCCGAGTAAGATTGTCTTCCATAAACATGGTTTTAACAATGAGTCCGTAAGTGACTGTGGAGGCCAATTCTGGATCAACACATCCTTCCACAGTAGGCACATAGGTTTCTGGACAGGAGTTGATCAAGGTGAGGGTTTGCCAAGCATGCCTTCCTCTTAGCACGTTTCTTCCTTTTGTCCTGAGTTTGAGCATCTTCAAAGTCCACAACACCTTTGGTAAAGGCTGTTCTCCAATTGGAGCTCTCGCAGGCCAGTGTTTCCCAGTTGTCGGTGTTTATATACATTTTTAAAGATTTGTCTTGAGAAAGTCTTTAAACCTCTTTTGTTGACCACCAGCATTACGCTTTCCATTTTTAAGTTCGGAATAGAGTAGTTGCTTTGGAAGACGATAATCAGGCATGCGAACAACACGAGCCGTCCAACAAAGTTGATGTTGAAGAATCATTGCTTCGACACTGGTGATCTTTGCTTCTTCCAGTACACTAGCATTAGTTTGCCTGTCTTCCCAAGTGATATGAAATTTTTTCCAGAGACACCGTTGATGGAATCTTTTGAGGAGTTGGTGATGGCGTTTATAAGTGGTCCGTGTTTCACAAGCATACAGTAAGGCTGGTAGTACAATAGCTTTGTAAACAAGCATTTTGGTTTCCCTGAGAATGTCCTGGTGCTCAAACACTAGAAAGTCAAAAACCATTTTGGGATTCAGGAAGGGTAGCCTCAGATATAGTTAGGATGTGGTTTGCTAAGATCCTTACAAGAATTTTGCAGGCCGCAGTTAATAAAGAGATGCCTCTATAGTTTCCACAATCCATTCTATCACCTTTTTAAAAAAAAGTTGATAATTTTGGCATCCCTATAGTCTTCTGGTATCTCCTCTCTCTCCCAGATTTTTTTGATGAGCTTGTGAAGTTGTTGTGTCAGTTCATTTCTGCCCACTTTGAAGAATTCGGCAGGTATCCCATCAGGTCCGCTGGCTTTGATTCAAAGAAAAGCAATCCGATGGATTTCCAATGACAGTTGAAGCATTAGTTCTGCGTGCTTTGGCATGTTAGCTTGACCACTGATACAAGATCTTCAGGTGTGTAAAAGAGAACCCAGCAATGCAAAAGCTTTACGCACATGGAACCAAATCCCCTGCAATAAGCATTAAGTTTACAAGGACATTCAAGGCAGATGTACAGTGAGTCCAAAATGGCCTTGAAGGTGAAGTAGGGAGGCCTGGCAAGCCTAATTTTGCCCATAGGTCAGAGGTTTGTCAACCCTGTGCTAAGCGAATAAAGTCATGTTCAGAAAAGCTGTCATTCCAACAGGAAGATGTGGGGACTTTCAGGAGTTGATTTCAAGCAGCTGCACAATCTTGATGACTTATGAATTAAAAATGGAAAGTCAGAAAAAAGAGATAGAAGGTGAAGACTTTTGAACTAGAAAATTGCAGGAGCTGATTGAGGTGGCTGTGATCCGAACATAGCTTGTATATTGCTGCTTTGTTGGGAAAAGCTTCTAGTGATTCCTGCATTCATCTTCTTCCGAACTGAACTCTTAGGTGTAATTTACAAACTGTGAAGTGAGGTAATTTTACATGCTTTTGTTCTGTGTTCAGTTAGCAGCTTGAAACCTCCATATCGGGCCAATGGGAAATAATAATTTCACTTTTCTCATTGCTTATGCTTCCTTTCTGCATTTTGACACTAAGTGACATTTGCGCACACAACAATGTTAGGCACAAGGCAAATGCGCTTTACCTTTCAACAAAATCTTCACAGTGTTGTCACATTGTGCCTGCTAGGCTGCAAGAGTTGTTTTAAAGAGCCCAATAAACTCAACAGCCTGGAAGTTTGAAGGCTTCGAAATATATGGAACGTCTTCCTCTTTGGTATAGCCAAAGAGATTACTGTATTTTTTGCTCTATAAGACTCACTTTTTCCCTCCTAAAAAGTAAGGGGAAATGTGTGTGCGTCTTATGGAGCGAATGCAGGCTGTGCAGCTATCCCAGAAGCCAGAACAGCAAGAGGGATTGCTGCTTTCACTGCGCAGCAATCCCTCTTGCTGTTCTGGCTCCTGAGATTCAGAATATTTTTTTTCTTGTTTTCCTCCTCCAAAAACTAGGTGCGTCTTGTGGTCTGGTGCGTCTTATAGAGCGAAAAATACGGTAACAATCAGGGACAAATCAACAATGAAACTAATGAAGCTTAACCTTCAGGGCCCCTAATCCTGTTGGGGTTCCCAGAAGCAACTTTAGTCCACACTGCGACCCACTTAGAGTCACATAACTCAATCTGAGTTGTATATATTTGTTGCATATATTTCAACCATCCCAAAGTTTGAGAGTCAGTAGCACAGATGTTGTAAAGGTGTGCTGATCTGTCATGGAACAAGCCCATTGCAGAAGATAATAGTGGCTACCCAGACCCAAAGCTGTCAACTTACAGATTTGAAAATAAGGGACCAGCAGCCTCGAAAATAAGGGATCAGCAGCCAAAAGAAGGGATTTTCCAAACACAGGTATGTTCGACTTCTGAGCCCCTCCAAGCCAAAGGCAGAAAGCCCAGCCAACAGCCAAACGAAGCCTCAAGTGGTGGTTCCCACAGCGCAGCAACCCGGCAAAGGGGATGCAGCAAGGAAAACCACCGTCACCTCTCCGCTGGGAAGCGCTGAGCAAAGGCGAGTCCCCAGGCAATGCGGCCGATTTGATCAGCACTAGGCATGCAAGCTCCACCTCCCCAGTCGTTCTTAGACTCCTTATTGGGTGAGCAACGCAGCCAAGCAACACAGTTGGAGCCTCCCTCCTCCCTGGCCGGCAGGGAGGGAGGGAGAGGAGATGCGTCTTTTGAAATCCGGGAAATTTAAGGGACATCATCAATAAGGGACAGCAGCGGGACACAGCACTGGGATAAGGGACTTTCCCACCAAATAAGGGATGGTTGACAGCTATGCCCAGACCTCATTGCTGGTTGTGAAAGGGCTTTGGTGACGGTTCAAGCTTCAAGGCCCCCAAAATGTAGGTCCATCACTGATAGCATTGAGATTCCTGCATTAGACGCTTATGTTGTGAACTGCCCTAAATCTATGAATGAAGGGGTGTGTGTGTATACTAACTAACTAACTAACTAACTAACTAACCAACCAACCAAATAAAAAAATAAAAAATAAATATTGTATATGCCTGAGGTCTTTTTTAAGATACACAGTTTTGCAGCAGAACCCATCTATATTATTAGCCCTGTCCACCTGCTAAAGTCATAAGAACATAAGAAAAGCTCTGCTAGATTGGACAAAAGGTTGCCCCCATGATACTATACAGATTTTGAACCTGGAGAGAGCACGGTGGAGGTTTCCACCTGGCTAGCTAAATAATTCCTTCCCATCACAGACTTACCTAAGTGTAAGTCTGTGTGCCTTTCAGGGGGGTTGAAGTAATAAATGTGTTATGGATAATAGTTTAAGGGGACAGAAGGATGTGCTCAAACAAGCACCAATAGATCGTGCCTTTCAAATATACCTACTTGAGACAAAAGAGCTTTTGGAGGCAGCAAAGACTGCCAGCCAGTATGCTGATTTTTAAAAAAATCTAATAAGGATAAATTGTTTTGTAGAAATATTATGGACACTGTTGCTATTTTGTTTGCTGTAATCGTTTGAAAAACTAAAATGGTGCGTAGGGTATTAAGAGGCTATAATGGGCAATAGATGCTGGTGACTTGTTTTCCAGCTCTGTATGTGAACATGCTGGCTATGTAACTTGGCTTAATAAACCATAACTTGGCTTATTAAGACAAAATATGTATGAGCATTTTGACTGCACGCACGGCCACTTTTCTCCTTCCTTTGCTGCGAACTGATTAACCTGGACATTAATTGTGGTCAAGGATGTTAAACTCAAATGACTTGGAGGGCAAATCCCCACCCCCACTCCGCGAAAATGCTTGGGAACCACAGTATTCTCATAAATAAATGCAGGTCCCACCTTCTGAACACAATGCATTCCCAGGAAATAATTTGTTAAGTGAGCATTCACATAATGAGCTGATGAGCCATTATTTCTTATGGGAACATTTTTAATCCATGAGCTCTCTTCCTGCAGCCAACTAGCAAAAGAGAGGCAGAGGAAAAATCTGATTTGTCTAATGTCTCCTGTTCCCTGATTTGTCTGAATTATCCTGCTTGGTGATTTGTCCGAATCTTTCTCCCCACTCCTTCTCTCCATGGTTTTTGCTTAAAAATGGCAGCCCCTAGCCAGCAAAGCACAAAAAAAGGAAGGAAGTGGGCAAACTCTGGCTGTTTGGATATCTGAATCAGCCATGTGTGCAGCAAGGTTTCGGCATAATTCTTTGTGTTTGGATAAGCGAATTTTCGCATAATGAGCAGGTGGATAGTGGGACCTGTGTGTATTCTGAGTGAGGTGTGGTAGGATTGCATTGGGAATTCTAACTTCTTTATGTTTTCTATTTCTCGTGTAGTTGGATCACACTCTGGATAGGTTCACATGCAGGAATGAACTCTGTGCCCACACCTTTACCTCGTCCTCCCCCCTCTACACTCCCTTATCAATTGATTACTTCCTGATGGTTGGTAAACCAGTTTGCCATTGCATCCAAACTGGCAAACTATGGCATGTACCTACGTTGCAGAATGGGACTGTAAAATAGTATTTGATCTTAGGGTGTTACACTGATTTGCAAAGCAAGCACAAACCATAGTTTGCCAGCTTGGATGTAACTGCAAAATATGGTCTGTGGCAAATGGCATGGTCGGCAGCAGATGGAGCACAAAAGTGGAAGAGGGATAGGGAGTGTGAAGAAGGGAGCAACTGAGTATAGGGTTTGCTCCTCTAGTGTCAAACCATGGTTTGGTGTTATATGTGAACTGAGTCTTTGCGAATGCAGTTGTATATTCCCCATTAACCCAATTTGAAACAAAGTTTGAAGGACCAGACCACTTTTCTCTATATAAAAAAAGAGCTTTTTCCAGATCTTCATGTGCATGTATTTTCTTGCCCATGTCAATCCGTGACAACGCATTACAAAAGCATTTCTGAATTATACCAGTGTACTTACGTAAGTCAAGAGATGGCATGAAAATCAACATTATGCAAGAATTTCCAAGTTCAGCAGGCTTGGTTGGAAGAACATGCTGCCTGCGCATTTTCCTCCGATTAGTCAAATGAATCGTCAAAGTGACAATTGCATAAGATGTGGCTTTTTTTTTTTTTTGCCAGTACAATCTTTCCTGCTTTTAAACCTGAAACATTCCAATTTTCCTTGCTCACTTCCTTTTTATATATATTAGGTCCTGTAACCGAAGTCAAAACAGATATCTATGTCACCAGTTTTGGACCTGTTTCTGATGTAGAGATGGTAGGTATCACTCGCTTTCTTTGATTTTGTAGGGTTGAGGTGGCAGTGAGGAAATGAACCCCAGTAATGAGTGAACGACTAATTCAGATGCCTTTGTGCACTGCTGTCAATCATGCAAAATAGGGAAGATTAGCAGCAGCCTAATTTTCAGGCTATTAATAGATGTGGCAGCCCTGATTCTGTTCCTCCTATGCAGGCTGGATTTAGACCAATGTGTGTGAGTTTTTTTGGTTTTTGTTTAAATCGCTTTCAGCAGATTTACAACAGCTATGGAAATGATATAGCCAGTTCTTTGGAGAAGAGTCACCCCAATATAGAATAATTCATAACCTTGTTGGATTTGAAGGACAACAATGGCAGGAACAGAGGCATTGGATACTGGCATCAAAGACTTAGTCTGAGCCACAGACTGAAGTCTGTGAACTGTACATATTAAACAAAAGACGCCCATTTCCCTGAGTTGCCTCATTTTGCACAATTTATACTACTCCTTTAAGTCATGGGGAGGGACAAGAAGCTAATGCAGAGCTATAAGGCTGTGCCCTCAGTTACTAGAAATCTTATTAATCTTCTGAGGTTTCATAAGGTATTGCCTGTTCTCATTCCAACAGTAAGGACTATAAATTCTCCCAACAGATAAACAAATACAGTGGTACCTTGGTTCTCAAACTTAATCCGTTCCGGAAGTCCATTCCAAAATGAAAGCGTTCCAAAACCAAGGCGCGCTTTCCCATAGAAAGTAATGCAAAATGGATTAATCCATTCCAGACTTTTAAAAACAACCCTAAAACAGCAATTTAACATGAATTTTGCTATCTAACGAGACCATTGATCCATAAAATGAAAGCAATAATCAATGTACTGTACTATAAAATAAATAAGAAAGTATTGTAGATGATAAAAATTAAAATTAAATTTTGTTCTTACCTGCACTGATGATAGTCATTGTTTGGAGGGCGGGCTTTTATCCATTTCCACAGTCACACAATCAATCAATCAATCAATCAATCAATGAGTAGATGAACTGGGTTCTACACAGTCACAAAAACAAATTAACTGAAAAAGCCTCAAAAACAAAATTGCAAAATAAATAGCAAAAACAAAAGCTCCAAACTTAATCCATTCCGGAAGTCTGTTTGACTTCCAAAATGTTCAAAAACCAAGGCGCAGCTTCTGATAGGTGCAGGCGCCCCAGAAACAACAGCTGACAGCTGCAATGGACACTCAACTTCCAAAAAATGTTCGAAAACTGGAATGCTTACTTCTGGGTTTTCAGTGTTTGGGAACCAAGGTGTTTGAGTATCAAGGTGTTTGAGAACCAAGGTACCACTGTAAATGCAAGCTGAGGTTCTCAGGTAGTTGAGTTTCACACCCAGTTCCATCTTCCACACATTTTCTCTCCTCCTGCTTGAGGTCACAGCAAATGCATAGTCGTGACGCTAGTCTATGCCTTGCTCTTGTTCAATCTGTGCATTTTCCAGTGCATGTTTTTCAAGTGCCCAGTGATTTCACAATTGGTTCGCTAAGGTTTCAGACCTAGTCACATTTATTTGGGACTTGATTTCAGCTGAAAATATCAACTTCGTGTGCATATCCTTTTCCATATGGACTTGCCCTCTCTGCTGAGGTTTGAACGCATTTGCTCTGGAGCCTCTTTGCTCTAGATGTCCATATGACCTTTGCAGTTCACATAGGGTTCTGCATTAAGCCATATGCATGCACCTATAGATCTTTATCTACACACACACACATTTTTTTAGTCCTGTGAACGCATTTATGAAGGCCATTGGAAAGATGCGTGTACATAAGTTGTGTCCAAATAAAGGGCTGCATGATCATTTTGTGACATGCTACTTCCCATTTGGATCATCCCATCTGTGTTTTATTTGTTGAAATTAGATAATATTCCTTTGATTTTGGCTGATATAATTAATCATGTGGCCCACTGAATATTTTAATTTGTCCATCTGTTTAAAAAAAATAGCATGGACATGAAAACCATTAACATATGTTAATGAATTAATCATTCTGTTTCCAGTTCTGTGCTAGAGTACAAGTTTAATTGCGTGCTTCTTGCCATTCTATTAGATTATAGTAATTATTTTTGATTGATTTAATATGTATAGCAATTTATTTATATGAGTAATGTGGAAAATTAAAGTATTAAAGGAGTACATAGTTCTGTTTAATTGATAGAAATGTGTTTAGGGAGTTTACAGTTACCAGTGACTAATTTGTCCTTGAGGGATATTCATAGAAAGGATATGCTTATAAAACATATTAAGTTTGTGTCTCTTCCAAATTACTGTAGGAATACACGATGGATGTTTTCTTTCGTCAGACGTGGGTCGACAAAAGATTAAGATATGATGGTCCCATTGAAATTCTAAGACTTAACAACTTGATGGTTACCAAAGTGTGGACACCAGACACTTTCTTCCGGAATGGGAAAAAATCTGTCTCACATAATATGACAGCCCCAAATAAACTATTCAGAATCATGAGAAATGGTACCATCCTTTATACAATGAGGTAGTTGATTTATCTATCTTTCCGTTCTTTTATTTTACTTTGCGTGAGAGAGGGAACACATCATTCTGGGGCTAATTCCATTTTGTTCCTTATAGGCTCACCATAAGTGCTGAGTGCCCCATGAGATTGGTCGATTTCCCAATGGATGGTCACGCCTGTCCTCTGAAATTTGGGAGTTGTAAGTCACACAGACCTTCTCTACTTAACGTTTTATGTATGAAACTGGTCAGATAATATCCAGAGCTGCATGGCTTAGGTCAATTGAAATTAATAGCAGGGGATATCACTGGACTGGTTGAGAAATGGCAGCTTAAAACAAGGGAGAAGGGAGTTGGGAAAAGTTCTGCTGTTTTGCTTCTTGGTGTTGGCTACTGTGTGGTACCCATCTCTGCCATTTCTCAAAGTTTTGTGTGTGTGTTAAAAACAACCACCCCTCAGTGTTTCTCCATCCCTGCTTTACTCAAAGTTGTGCGGCTATTTAAAACCACCATGTTCCTGTCAGTGTTTCTTCATCCCTGCCTTACTCAAACTTCTGCTATTGTTTAAAATAGCTGTCCCCCCCCTTTAAGTGTCTCTCCCTTCTCACTGTACTCAAAGCTCTCCCTCATCCATTTCTCGCCAGCTCATGTGACAGAGATAAAGGTTGTGGAGCCCTCTAATATTCCATAGTACAATGTATTTCGCTCCTGGTACCATGTGTTTTCTTCAGTGTGAAGTTCCAGGGGCAATGTAGTAATTTAGAATATATATATATTTAATTAACAAGAAGACACCCATATGTGTACAACACCCATCAACTGAACTTAACCTTCTCTAAGTGAACAAGTTCAATGGCAGACTTGCTCTTAAAATTCTGTTTCATCTTAAAGATACAGTAACATATATCATCATGGGGTGTGTGCACAAAGATGGCTGTGGGGGCAATCTGGGTGTAAAGAAGAGCTGAGAAAAGTGAGGAAGGGGGAGGAAATGTGGGGTGCAGGTAAAAATGGGGTGTTGCAAAAAAAAAAAAAAAAAAGAGGGGAAAGGAGGCAAGGGAATGGGAGAAGTGCCATGAAAAGAAATGCAGAATAGAATGGGATGGTGGCTTCACAACTGATTGGAAACTGAAAATGAAGCTAATTGCTATGTGTGGCTTGAGGAAGATTCAGGAGTTTACCAGTAGGGTAGTTTGTGTTCAAGAGGAAGTTGCACATAAGGAGGGAGAGGAGGCGGCGGCATGAATATACGGCCTCGGTCCTGTATACCTGAAGGAGCGTCTCCACCCCCATCATTCAGCCCAGACACTGAGATCCAGCGCCAAGGGCCTTCTGGCAGTTCCCTCGCTGCGAGAAGCCAAGTTTCAGGGAACCAGGCAGAGGGCCTTCTCGGTAGTGGCGCCCGCCCTGTGGAATGACCTCCCTTCAGATGTGAAGGAAATAAGCAGCTATCTTCTTTTTAAAAGACATCTGAAGGCAGCCCTGTTTAGGGAAGTTTTTAATATTTAATGCTGTATTTTTTTTTTAACACTTGATTGGAAGCCACCCAGAGTTGCTGGGGAAACTCAGCCAGATGGGCGGGGTATAAATAAATGATGATGATGATGATGATGATGATGATTATTATTGGGGTGAAGGTGGAAATGGCTGTAAAGCGGAGTCACTGCAGAATTGAAGAGAGAAACTGCTTCAGAAATGGGGTTGGGAAGGTGAAAAAATAGCTTAGTAATTGTATGGGGTGGGAAGAGGAAGCTCTAGGGGTTAATATGGGGCGAATGGCAGTGGTGGGTCTGGCAAGCACAGCTGAGCAGCAGTTCACTCCTTAGTAAAAAAATAAAAATATAATTATTAAGGTGACTGGCTAATCAAAGTAAAAAAAAACCTGAAGTGTTCCAAAGGCCTGTTGGCATGAATAGGTTAAGACCCAACATTTTAATTGTATGTATTTTTCCAGATGCATATCCAAAGAGTGAAATGATTTACACCTGGACAAAAGGACCTAAGAATTCAGTGGAAGTTCCTGAAGAGTCTTCCAGTTTAGTTCAGTATGACCTGCTTGGGCATACAGCATCCACTGATACTGTTAAATCCATTACAGGTAAGAATCTAGTTGGTGATAATCAACTTAAGGGGTGGAGTTAGCGGTCTAATTTTGTTTTAGCCAAAGATGTTTTGGAAATCTCAGTGTAGCCTAAGAGGCATAATAAGCATATGACAAACCCTAGACCATTTATCTCCAGGCTTACACTAAAGCAGATAGCCTGTTGCTGCGTGCTGTGCTGTCTCTCTTCAGAAAGCAAAGTGAAAATGGTTGAAAATGCAAGATTGTCGCTACCGACATATTTTCATAGCTGTGCTGCTGGCAAGTGTTGATCTTTGTGATTTATCATGCTACAAATTGCATGCAGATTGGCCAACTAAATCCCTATTAGAATTGCTGCTGGAGCAAACACATTAAACATAACAGCTATTACTGCTGGGTTGTTTTTTAAATTTTTTAATATATTTTTGTGTAGTGATAAAAAATAGCAACAGGCAGCAGTGTGAGAAGTGGCAGTGTTTAAGATCTGTGGGTGTTTTTGTTTTTCATTTTTAAAAAAATTATGGCTGTTGGTTGGTTATATGATTGTATTGCTAAACGCTCTATTACTGGTGCAGTTTGAAACATGCTCTAGCAGAGATCACGACAGAATTAAGCAACAGAGGGAGCAGATGTAGGCGACAGATTTCCGAGTGTCGTTATTGATAGCAAGATGAAGCAATATTTTCCTAATGTATTGGATATTATCTGTAAGTGAGATATCACTGATCTATAATGGAATATCAGGCCAAGATTCTTAGATTGCTCCTTAAGAAGGTGTCTCCGTGATCTTGGTAAAAAATCTCAGTATGTACCGTATTTTTCGCTCTATAAGACGCACCAGACTACAAGACGCACCTAGATTTTGGAGGAGGAAAACAAGAAAAAAAATATTCTGAATCTCAGAAGTCAGAACAGCAAGAGGGATCACTGCACAGTGAAAGCAGCAATCCCTCTTGCTGTTCTGGCTTCTGGGATAGCTGCGCAGCCTGCATTCGCTCCATAAGACGCACACACATTTCCCCTTACTTTTTAGGAGGGAAAAAGTGAATCTTATAGAGCAAAAAATACAGTAATTATAAAACAACTAGATCCTGGAGTGTAATGGACTTCCCAGCAAGATGCCTTTACATTTCCGTCGACTTCTTTTAAAATTGAGTTTGAATAGCAGCCCAAATCCGGAATGATGGTTTCATACCAGAATTTCCACCAGAAGGCTCAGGTTGTTTATAGCTTTCCTTTAAGTGGGTGGGTGGTATGTGGGAGGAGAAGATGGGCGGAAGTGAGGCAATAAATTGAGCATTTTGATCATGCTTTGGGTTTTGGCAGGCAATTTATTTTCATGGTGTGGAATGAAGAACATTGGTCTGGTTCTATCCTGCACACAGTTGCACTTTGGAACAGACCTGACCCATCCTGGGCTTAATAAACCTCCTGTTCTTAATGCATGCCCTAGACTGGAGAAACAGGGATGGAAAAACCGTGACAGGCAGGTGGCCAGCGACAACACATCTGGTCAACTATGTTTGGCTCTGTAGACTAGGACATGAGCATGGGAGAAGGCATGCAAGCCTGCAATATGTTTGATAATCCTTAGCTCTTTACTGTCTTGGCTTTGAAACTCATTTGCTCTTGTGCAGCATTTTTTGGTAGGTCCTAAGCCTGACTCCAAGTAGGATGGAGAGCCAGCCCATTTCTTTTCAGGTGGACCTATAACCACCTCACTTCATTCCCCCCCTCCTGCTTTGAGCATCGGACTGGTCCCAAGGTCCTAAGCATACTTTCCATACAGCCACTATTATGGAAAATTTCCCATTGCAGGCCCCACTGAAATGAATGGGTACTCAACTACACAAGCCCAGGGAGGTGCTTTTGTGCTGCCCCCATTCATTTCAATGGGGTTTAAATGGGAGAACTTCACCTGGTGAATAACAACTATGCTTGGTATTCATTGGCTAAAAAAAATCAATGAAAGGAAGACATTTTCTTGGTGCATCTGTTGAAAATATAATCCTGAAGTAGTAATTATATGTTTTCCAGATGCTGCAGTATCAGAACAGACAGCTAATATTTTACTTATACTTATTTTTCCCTCCCTCCAGCGTATACCTACATATCTTTATGGTATGTGAAAGTATGAGAGATGTCAAACAGTCCCTATTATTTCATGTTTTACATCCCACCTCCTGGGTAGTATTTTAAGATCTACTTGTTTTCCCTGGACTCAGTATGGCTTTTGTTTATTATTATATATCCTGTTCTTCCTATGTGGAGCTTGGAGTGACTCATGTGAGCTCCCACTGCTGTCTTAGCCAGGCTGAAACTTCGTTCACTTTAGTGAATCTTCATGTTTTCAGAGTCAAATGAACTGAATGCAATTTGAGTAGCTGGAGAATATGTTAAAATAAATAAATAAATCTGGGTGTACTGAAAGTTTTTTTTAAAATCACTTTTGGCTTCCCCCCCCTTTAAGGTGAATATGTCGTTATGACAGTACACTTCCACCTCAGACGAAAAATGGGTTATTTTATGATACAAACATACATCCCATGCATCATGACTGTGATCCTCTCTCAAGTTTCATTTTGGATCAATAAGGAGTCTGTTCCTGCCAGAACTGTTTTTGGTAAGTCTCACCACTGACTTTGTATGTCTTTTTAGTCTTCTTGAGGAGCCCAGCTGATTTGAACGAGAGATTTGGCCAAGGAAGGAGTATGCCCTCAGGCTCTGAATCTGTAATGTCAGCTTCGCTGATACAGGCCCCTTTCCTCTCCTGCCTTGGCGAGAGTGAATTGAAAAAGCAATTAGGAAAATCGATTACGCGATATTAGAATGAAGCACATTAAAATGCAATTTGAAAGAGGATGCTCCAATTGACACTGAAAGCAAGAGGAGACAAACGGCATGGAGGCAGCACACAGGGAGCTGAGGGGGGAAATCTGGGTTTCTGACAAAGGAGAGGAGAATACAGATACGGCTGAAGCAATTTTCTAAAGAAGTTATCTTTCTAAACCTCAGCATTGCCATGCATTGGAGAAGGATTAATCAAGTGGAGACCATTGAACCAAAAGACCTATTAAGCAGTACATTTCAGAGGGAGATGAATAAAAGAGGTTAAAATTAGGCCTGGCAGGGGCGGACTTTCCATCTGAAAGAGAAATCTGAATATGTATGTATTACTTAGCCCTCCTCCATTTCATCCCAGCAAGAAATCGCAAAAGAAAACTCCAGTGGCGGCTTTTCCTGTTGAGGCTGTAGAAAGGTAATAGGTTTTACAGAACTGAAAGTGCTTTGATATAGATCCATTTTTGCTTGGGGTGTGTAGATTTATCCCCACCTAAGCCTATGTTGTCTCTGCTCAGACAGGTTCCCATAATAAATTAAAGCCTGATAAATAGGTTTTGTCAGAGATGACGTTGATGTTTCATCGATGTTTTTATGGCTCTGCTGTTGATTTTGTCCTTATATGTTTTACTCCACCTTGCTTGATTTCTACGAAAGTGCAGATTATTAAATTCATGAATAAATAAATAATGGTGGGGTGGATTCAGAAATCCATATTAGGGCAATGCCTTTATTGGGCTAACCAAAAGGTCACAAAAGTTTTTGAGTAGCCCTGAACTCCTAATATGACTCGATCAGTGTTTCCCAAACGTGGGTCTCCAGCTGTTTTTGAACTACAGTTCCCATCATCCCTGACCACTGATCCTGCTAGCTAGGGATGATGGGAATGGTAGTCCAAAAAATGCTGGAGACACAAGTTCAGGAAACCCTGATTTAGAGGGTTGGTTGGAGACTCTCTCTCACACACAGACACCCCACACAAATGACCTGGGAGACAGGATTCTAAATTGGAGGAATTTTGGATTCTCCCCCCACCCCCATGGCTGACATGACTATCTTTAGTGGGATAGTATTTGTATGTGCACCCAGCAGGCAGGTGGTGATGTGTATGCAGTGATGGGTTGTGGTGGGTGGCTGTCAATTACAAAGGGGGTTTGGGGTTGGCTTACCCACACCAAGAGGAGCTCAGAAGGATGGAAAGTATCCATGGTAACTTAAATAACATTGTTGCCTTTGACTGTCCTGTATAAGTAAGGCTGATGAGCATTTAGCAATGCGTTTGCTGTACTGTGTGTGTTGCCAGAGAACTATTTGTTGTAGGATGGGTGCTGCTCCTGCTGGCAAGCTTCTTGAGCTCCACACAATGTCATCCAAATGCCAGCCTGTATTTTTCTCCTTATTTACCTAACAAGCCTAGAAGTGTCTACTTGGAAGTCCCACCTAACTCAATGAGGCTTACTTCCAGGAAACCAGGTATTGCAGCTTTAATCTAGACTTACCCTTTCCATGGAAAATCCAATCAGTTAAAAAACTTTGTTGTTGTTGTTTAGTTGTTTAGTCGTGTCTGACTCTTCGTGACCCCTGGACCAGAGCACACCAGGCATGCCTGTCTTCCACTGCCTCTCGCAGTTTGGCCAAACTCATGTTTTGAGAACATTGTCCAACCATCTCGTCCTTTGTCGTCCCATTCTCCTTGTGCCCTCCATCTTTCCCAACATCAGGGTCTTTTCCAGAGAGCCTTCTCTTCTCATGAGGTGGCCAAAGTATTGGAGCCTCAGCTTCAGGATCTGTCCTTCCAGTGAGTATTCAGGGCTGATTTCCTTCAGAATGGATAGGTTTGATCTTCTTGCTGTCCATGGGACTTTCAAGAGTCTCCTCCAGCACCATATTTCAAAAGAATCAATTCTTCGGCGATCAGCCTTCTTTATGGTCCAGCTCTCATTTCCATACATCTCCACTGGGAAAACCATAGCTTTAACTATACAGACCTTTGTTGGCAAGGTGATGTCTGCTTTTTAAGATGCTGTCTAGGTTTGTCATTGCTTTTCTCCCAAGAAGCAGGCATCTTTAATTTCATGACTGCTGTCACCATCTGCAGTGATCATGGAGCCCAAGAGAGTAAAATCTCTCACTGCCTCCATTTCTTCCCCTTCTATTTGCAAGGAGATGATGGGACCAAAAAACCTAGTTGCCAATAAACCATTGGTGGTATTAAGTCCCCATCTGAACGCACCCTGAAGTTTGTAGCAATAAACCTTCATTTGCTGGTCTTTGTGCTCAAAGGTGAAAATGCTTTAAAAAAATACTGTATAGTTTCCTTGGATTTTTTTTCTAGCTAGCAGTCATTCAGCAAGTTTGGAAAATTCCATCGTTCCAAGAAGTACAGTTCAGTGTTTCCTGCTTTGTTTGTTCTCTTTCCCATCAGAGGCGCTTCAGGCTCCCAGCGGCCTGCCTTTGTCTTGTTAGATTTGATTATATGAGAAGCAGGGTCTTGCATAGCCATTCAGATTACATTTCTCCATCTTCAAGCAGGCATGAAGAAGCTCTTTATATTTTTAATGTTTACAGAGACCCAGCAGCTTTTGTCTGGGTGGAAAGTTTTCAATGGGAAGCTCTTATAAGTACAGCTGATGCCAAGAGCCAGGGATAGCTAATGTGAGCCAGCTTCATGTAAAATAAACATGAACAATGGTTCAGGGTTTCATCATCCCCCTCCTTTGCAAAAAATGCTTATGAAACAGTGAGATGTTCTAGGTGTGAGACTAGAGGAAGGGCAAGGCCCAGCTAAGACATTTCTCTGTCTGAGGCAAATATTATGCTCCCCATGCCATACCACTCACCAGAAGCAGACTAATCAAGTGTCTGTATTTTCCAGAGACAGTCCCAGATTTACAGAAGCCGTCTCGGTTTCTAATCTGATCCTGGAATGTTTCACTTTTCCTTAGACAGGGGTGCCCAAACCTTTTCCAAAAGGGCCAGATTTGATGAAGTGAACATGCATGAGGAAGTTGTTGAACTTTTTTTAGATTGAAGTAGGATTTTACCCAAGGACATATACTGCCACAGGGGCCGGATTAAATCGACCGGTGGGCTGGATTAGGCCCCCGAAACGGACTTTGGACACGCCTGCCTTAGGACATCTCTATTTTCATTGGAGAAATGTTGAAGGGTATGGTTATGTGACCTCAAGCCAAGGAGATAAGTAACTATACAACCTTCATAGCCAGTGTGGTGTAGTGGTGTAGAGCGGTAGACTCGTAATCTGGGGAACCGGGTTCGCGTCTCCACTCCTCCACATGCAGCTGCTGGGTGACCTTGGGCTAGTCACACTTCTTTGAAGTCTCTCAGCCCCACTCACCTCACAGAGTGTTTGTTGTGAGGGAGGAAGGAAAAGGAGAATGTTAGCCGCTTTGAGACTCCTTTGGGTAGTGATAAAGTGGGATATCAAATCCAAACTCTTCTTCTTCTTCTTCTTCTTCTTCTTCTTCTTCTTCTTCTTCTTCTTCAGAAGACATCTGAAGGCAGCCCTTTATAGGGAAGGGTTATTATGGGATAGGATGTCCCTATTTTCATTGGAGAAATGTTGGAGGGTATGCTCTCTTTCCATATTCCCAGATGAATCTCATTCCTAGTAGCCTTCCTGCAGAAAGATTTAACAGATAAAGAGCTTCCTTAAAAAGTGCCAAGTGATAATCCTGCCATTTCCCCTCCAAGAAGCAAAGTGAATTGTTCCCATTAATATCGATGTCAACAGTTCTATTTGGATTACGAGAGGAATAAGAACAGTCACAGTTTAGGCTACAACATAAATATATTAGCATTCATATGCCAATTAGGCAATCTGATACTCTCTTTAAAAAGACTTGAGTTTTTAATGAAATACACGATAGGATAATACTTAACAATTAAATATCCGGGGAGCACTTCTCTGCTGTGCTTCTGTGTATATACCCAGAGAGAATCAGAAGGATTAACTGTAGTCTTTTGTTATGTTTGGAATTACTATTTTAATCTGAAAGGCCCCTTCAAAATAAAATGTGTAAGTTCCCAAATAAAGGAATTGTCTTCCAGTAGGATACAATCCCTGTCTACATAATGCAACACACTTCCCTTCCCCTGTGCTTTCTGCCTGTACTGCCCAACTCCCCAGCATGAGATCTGGAAAGTGGCTGCCTCTTGGAGGCTGCCAGAAGGGAATCATCTCTTTGGGGTGATTCCTCATGGATCTGAGGCCAAGTCTTCAAACTTTTGCCCTGCTGGACACAGCAAGGAGAGCAGCTCCCTGCTAAACTGTGGCAAGATTCCAGGGGGTTCCAGGAGCTCACCTAGGGCCTGTGTTCCCATGAGAGTTAGGATGTGTCTTCAGAAATATGGTTTCGTTACACATATTTACACCTTTAGTCAGCATGGTCAGCTTAAGAGGGCCTTGTTCCCCACAGCCGTACAGCAGTGGAGTCCAAGGTATCTCACCCGGCCTGCCTTCAGCCAAGCTCTCAGCTGTCCCCAGGCCTCATGCCAAAGACCCCAACCTCTTCTTGTGACATCACACCCAGTTACCATGGCAACCTTCCAAATTCCATGTCTCTGTTCACACCTCAGGCCGGGGTGGGGGGGAAAAGGACAGTTATCGTGCATTGCCAATGGTCCTCAGCAACCCTGCATTGTTTCTTAGTGCCCCCAGTTTGGCCAGATAGTTGATGTTGTCGACTGCTGAAACCTGGTTTGCTGATGTAGTGTGTGCCCCTTACAGTATCCGATCTTTATTTTATGAGGTATCTGGCCTGCCATTGTTAGAGGCACCAATCTTGAGTAAGGAAACTTGCTCCGAAATAAGAGTTTTCTACCCAAGATCCCTTGGGCTCAGCCTCATTTCAATGGACTGTAGTCTATAATAATAATAATAATAATAATAATAATTTATTATTTATACCCCACCCATCTGGCTGGGTTTCCCCAGCCACTCTGGGCGGCTTCCAACAAAACACTAAAATACAGTAACCTATTAAACATTAAAAGCTTCCCTAAACAGGGCTGCCTTCAGATGTCTTCTAAAAGTTTGGTACTGTAGTTATTTTTCTCTTTGACATCTGGTGGGAGGGCGTTCCACAGGGCGGGTGCCACTACCGAGAAGGCCCTCTGCCTGGTTCCCTGTAGCTTTGCTTCTCGTAATGAGGGAACCGCCAGAAGGCCCTCCGCGCTGGACCTCAGTGTCCAGGTAGAACGATGGGGGTGGAGACGCTCCTTCAGGTATTCTGGGCTGAGGCCATTTAGGGTTTTAAGGGTCAGCACCAACACTTCGAATTGTGCTTGGAAACGTACTGGGAGCCAGTGTAGGTCTTTTCAGTGAGGTCACCTCCTCTCTGCTTCCCCATACTCTTGCTTTTGATGCTTCTGTTAATTTCTTTATCCTCTTCTGCATCGCAAGGCAGATGTGAATGTGCATACCAAACCCACGCTTCAGGTGATCCTGAATCCACATTAAATATGTTTTTAGATGTGCTGTCAGATGCCCAGAGTGGCTGGGGAAACCCAGCCAGATGGGCGGGGTATAAATAAATAAATAAATAAATAATAATAATAATAATAATAATGTCTCAAGTGTGCATTGTGACACAGATGCAGTTTTGAAAGTGTACAGTCTAAACACAAACTTTCCATGCACAGCTTTCCTTTTGCTGGAAGGAGCACATGTGTGCATGCACACACATGCACACAGCATTGCAGAACACAGAGAGCCTTTCCCCGAGGTGGTTATGCTCTGTACTAATTCAAGCTGCAGCCTCAGTCCTAGAGCTGTAAGTGGTTTGTTCCATATCATTAGAGCTATATTACAGAACTGTCAGGAGGAACACTGTACTGCTGTATTTGATCACATACCGCTGTCTCCTTGGCTGCTTTATTAAAATGTATAGTCTCTCATGTTATTTTAAAGCAATATTGAGTTCATTCTTCCTCTCTGCCTTCTGGTGGAGAAAGAGAGAGAGAGAGAGCCATAAACAGAATTTGCAGTGGAATCACTGTCATTTAGAGCTCTGAGCTTCAGTGGAGCCTTTTAGGTTTGCAAAAAATAGGTTTTTGCCACACACACACCCTCCTTGGATAAAACACTTTAATTGCTATTGGGGTCACGTAGACCACAACTAAGTAAGATTTTTAAAAAAGCAATAACAAGATGTATTGGACCCAGGGATTCAATCTGTGGTGGTATGTCTTTGAAAATACACTGGAAAATCATACAGCACATAGCACAGCAGGTTTCAATTGCTAAAACAGGCGTAAAAATAATCAGTTGACTGGTCCACCAAGACCTTGATCAATTTTCAAGTATGAAAACTTTTTTGACCACAATCAGAGTTCTACGCATTCTTTCATGGAAGTAATGACTCCATTTTAATGTAAAATTATGAATTTGTTTTCAGTGCTTATAATGAGTGCATGCAACTGTATCCAAATGATATTAGGGTGTGTATGTAATGGCAGCCCCCATGTTAATGCCCGTGACGTCTCATGGATCCTGGCTATCTCTAGTAGCTAGGAATAAAAAATATGGAATGGGTGAGGCCATAGTTTTAACTTCTGCATTAATCTAAAATAGTTATGGTGCTGTTAAAGGAGAGTTTTCACCACACTGGAGTAACTTACACACTAACAGTCAGTGTGGCATTGTGGCTAGAAGAAGAAGAAGAAGAGCTTGGATTTGATATCCTGCTTTATCACTACCCGAAGGAGTCTCAAAGCAGCTAACATTCTCCTTTCCCTTCCTCCCCCACAACAAACACTCTGTGAGGTGAATGAGGCTGAGGGACTTCAAAGAAGTGTGACTGGCCCAAGGTCACCCAGCAGCTGCATGTGGAGGAGCGGAGATGCGAACCCGGTTCACCAGATTACGAGTCTATCGCTCTTAACCACTACACCACACTGGCTCTCCAGTGAATGCTGGACTAGTACCTGGGAGACCGAGGGTTTGAATCTGCCCTTGACCATGAAGCTCGTTGGGTGACCTCTCAGCCAAACCTACCTAGAAGCTTGTCGGGTGACCTCTCATTGCCTCTCAGCCAAACCTACTTTGCAGGGCTGTTGCGGGGATTAACTGAGGAGGGGGAGAACCGTGTATGTCACCTGTCACGGACTGGCTGGATGATAAAGAGTGGTAGGAAGCATCAGGCGGGAGATCCCCATGGGAAACCCCAGAGGAGGAAGGCTCAGAGCCAAGAAAATTGATGGAGGTCAGAGGGAGAAGAGTGGGAGGAGGGATTGGAGGCTGAGAGGCAGCAGGATATAGGGAGCAAGGAGAGTTGGTGACCGGGAACTGTTCTGACTCAGAGGCTAAAGTAGAAAAATTCCAGGGGCCTGCCTCTCCTACTGCGACAAACTCCCCTCTCCACTAGTCTCCAAGGACATGCAAGGCGATGTGTAGAGTGGAGCAGAGATTACAGGTGCCCAGGTGAAGTTTGAGACTGCTTGGAAAACATCCGGCAGAGGAGGAGCCCTAGAGGAAGTGGAAGGCGAGGACTGTCAGTCCTGGGAACTAGCAGGGCAAGTCCTGCTGGAAGTGTTGCTAAGTTGTATGCCATATTCTTGAATAAAGAATTAGCTGCACCAATAGTCTCTGCTTCCTGTGTGCTGACCGACATCTGGGCCCAGCCCTGACACTACCTTGAGTTCCTTGGGCTGGGAAAAGGGATATGATTGCAATCAATCAATCAATCAATCAATCAATCAATCAATACCGCACTCATGCAGTGTTTCATCCTCCCCACTTTAATTTCAGCTGGGGTCTCATTTGTCTCAATGCTTTTTAATGAAATCCTCAAATGCACTCCCCCCCCCTTTTTGGTAAGGAGAGTGTTGAAACACTTCCAAACTATTTCAACTTGCACCATTTTGTATTTGGCTATGGCCCCAAATATATTGGAGTGATTTTTTAATTTAAAAAATTGATATGATTCTCAAATGCAGCAGCGTTGCTTTGCTTCTTTTCTTTTTACAGGGATAACAACGGTTTTGACCATGACAACTCTGAGCATCAGTGCGCGGCATTCTTTGCCCAAAGTCTCCTACGCCACCGCCATGGACTGGTTCATTGCCGTGTGCTTCGCCTTCGTCTTCTCTGCGCTGATTGAGTTTGCAGCTGTCAACTATTTCACTAACATTCAGATGGAAAAAGCCAAAAGGAAGGCCGCGAGATCTGCTCCTGAAGTTCCAGCAACTCCTATGCAGAAGGAAAACTGTGCAGAAGAAGCACCCACGGTATTTAGCCTATTTAATACAGTATGCATTAAAACGTGACTAGTGAAATGTTGACCAAAAGTGCATTCAAAGCTGGGTCAGGGTTGAAGTGCATGGTCAGCTTCCATTCTAGGGTGGTTTGAACCCATCTTGCTTTCCATTGTCCTCTAGCTTCCTTTGAGACTGTTACTTTTGTCCACAGCCTAGACTGCACCCTTACTTAAACTGACTTCTTTGTCATTTCCCTTCAATCTTACATTTTTCAGTGTTACTTAGTGTTACTAAGTGTTACTACAGTAACATTTCAGTGTTACTACAGTAACATTTCAGTGTTACTAAGGCAGAAAGTAGTGCATCTGCAACACCAGTAGCAATTACAGTGGTACCTCGGTTTTCGAGCGTAATCCGTTCCGGAAGACAGTTCGAGTTCTGAAACATTTGAAAACCAAAAACCCAACAGCCGAAAGCTAGGCCTCAGGATCTTGCACTCAGCGGAAGCTGCGTAGCATGTTCGACTTCTGAGGTGTGTTCAAAAACTGAAGCATTTCCGGGTTTATGGTGTTTGAAAACCGAAATGTTCGTCAGTGGAGACGTTCGAAAACTGAGATACCCCTGTACACTCTTTTTCTCCCCTTAAAACCAGACCTCTTTGCTTTACTTCCTTGTTGCCATTTTCCTAGATAGGCAAGGAGGTCTGAAGGTCAAAAATATAGATTATGTTAAAGAGTAGGCAGCTCCATGTAGCATATTTAAACTTAAAAGTAATTTTGTGGGGCGCTTATTCAGATCAGGATCACTGCATGTGAGGAAGAAAGGTTTATTTATAATCTCCTGTACCATCTTTCCCAGCCGCCTCCATGCTCTAAGTAGCAAATAGAAAAAAGCTCCCATGGGCATCAATGGGAGCTTCCACCTACCTTTCACTACTTGGTGTTGGGCTGATTCTGGGGGAAATCATAGTGGGGAAAGGAACGATTGAACTTCCCTTCTTTGCATGCTGTGGTCTCAGTCTACATTGTACCGCCATGATTACTTTGAAGATTGGATGCTGGACTTGCTGTGGGCTTGGTTTCTGGGACTGGATCCAACCTATGATCCTGGGACTCATGATGTGACTCTTCTGTACACTTTTAACCAGGATTTTCAAAGCTAGAAAGCTTTGAAGCTAGGAAGGCTTCTCACAATTCTATCTTTCAAATTGGTGTCTACCATGTGTCAACGCCATTTTGGAAAATCCTTTCCGAGACCATTCTTCAGGCTGCATATTCTCAAAAAATTTCCTTGGCCCAGTCCAAAGAAAGTGGGTTGGATCCTGCAGGCAGAGATGGAATTGTATACATTCCTTGTTTAGTGCCATGTTTTAAGGGTGCGATAAAACAAACAGGAAACGCAGAGGCTTTTATTTTCACTTGACGCATCTGAAGGAAATTACCCTCCATTAAACTGTTATCGGAAGCAGACATCCACATGAGACATTGCTGTATAAAATGAAGCCTCAGCTCATTTAGGCTGACCCTGAGATAAAGCCACATCATCAAAGTGCTATCACACAATCTGAACTGGCTGTCAAGGCTGGGGATCAGGTTGCTGCCTGTACTTTACATTCGGACTCAAAATATTACAGCAACAGAACAGCTGCCATATCCAGCGCATGCTCAATTCAGGGGTGAGGAACAAGGGTTTAAGATCCATCCCAAGCGGAAAAGGTTCCTTTGCCAATCAGCCAAGAAGAGAGAGACAACAGGGCTGATAAATCCTACATGTCATGGAGCTGTAGTCTCCTTCCTCTTCACTCCCAGGCCCCACACTTAGTGTTAAAAGTCTCCCCTTGGGATCAGCCATCTCCGCCCCCCCCCAAGAATACTCCTGGGAATGATAACATAGCAAGGGTATTTTATTCCCAGGAAAGCCACAAGATTGCTGCAGCCAGTCAAGATGATGCTTGATGTGGTGGCAAGCCTTTAAAAAAGAAAGTGGTGAGCAGGAAAGGAAAAGCACTTTGACTGCCCCATATTAAAACATCACCAGAAAAGAAGAAGTACATAAGTAAATAGGAAGCGAGAAGGACATGGATTTGCATATAATATGAAAATGTATATGTATAGATGTCAATCCAGATATAATTAAAGGTAAAGGTAAAGGGACCCCTGACCATTAGGTCCAGTCATGGCTGACTCTGGGGTTGCGGCGCTCATCTCGCTTTATTGGCCAAGGAAGTCGGTGTACAGCTTCCACGTCAGCACGACTAAGCCGCTTCTAGTGAACCAGAGCAGCGCACAGAAACACCGTTTACTTTCCTGCTGGAGTGGTACCTATTTATCTACTTGCCCTTTGATGTGCTTTCGAACTGCTAGGTTGGCAGGAGCGGGGACCGAGCAATGGGAGCTCACCCCGTTGCGGGGATTCGAACCGCCGACCTTCTGATTGGCAAGTCCTAGGCTCTGTGGTTTAACCCACTGTGCCACCCGTGTCCCCCAGATATAATTACTATAATTTAAATAAGAACACATCTCACCACAGTGGAGGAGACTGGGGCAAGGTGGCCCACGTGCCTATTCAGGTGCTATTGATCGGCAACTTCAAAGCCTTTGTTCTCCTTTCTTATGGCTCCTCATTTTTAAACTGGACTTGGGCCAGGCTGCCCTTCAGATAGACGTCTTCTTCAGTTAAAGGATTGTCATCTGTAAAGCAGGACGCAATGGCACCCTGTTGGAGCCATCCATGGCCAGTCTCATGTGATATGAATGCAAATGTAACGAAAGAGTTTGATGGGACTTGGAAATAATTTTAAACCTTCTGGTTGCTTCTGAGATTTACTTGTACTTCTGTAATTAAACTCTTCCCTGCCCCCGCTCTTTCCACCGCAAGTACCAACATTTGGCCTAAAGCATAAGCAATTATTATTTTTTTCTTGGTTAACCCAATGCAATAACTTCTCCTAACAGGCCTCCAAAGGCTATAAGTTTCACATGTCCCTTCGTAAGCTAATTTAACTTTGGTTACTTCATTCTATATGCACAAATACTGCTCTACATTGGTTTTACTAGCCCTTTCCTTATGGGCCCTGCAAAAGCAATCACCCTTTCTTGCATTCCCCCCCAGGTTCCCCCTCTTATATTTGTCCTCAGCTTCTCATAAAATAATAGCATTTAAAAAAAAGCTTGCCGTGCTGCTTTATCTAAATTGTTTTTCTTTCGTTACCCATATTTTTGAGGCAACAAGTGAATAATTGGTTTCCACGAGCTGGAAAATCATGCAAAATTCATGGGCCCTATTCTCCACTCCAGCAAGAAACTTTATTTCATCTGAAATAAAAATGGGTTACATATAAGAGTTCATTTCGCCTCTGATTGCTTCTAGGTTCAGAGTTTCTTTGCTGGGGTGAAGTCATAAGAAGTAATTGGCTTGCAGGAGTTCATATTTATAGTGTGCAGTCTGAAGATAATTGAAAAGAAAATACACAGGTGGAGTGTAGCTTGGGAGAAGATGCCTCAGAAGATTTGTGACAGGAAATACGGATCCAACAAGATTGATCTGAAGGTCACTTATGGTGACATTTCAAATTAGGCTTGTTAATCCATTTGTAGGAACACAGGAAACTTAAGTTGTCTTCTAAAGGTTGTATTGTTACTTATCTCATTGGCTTGGGGGTCACATAACTCCATACCCTCTAACAATTCTCTGATGAAAATAGGGACATCCTAAGGAAAAGTGGGACATTCTGGGATAATAATAATAATAATAATAATAATAATAATAATATATTATTTATATCCCGCCCATCTGGCTGAGTTTCCTCAGCCACTCTGGGTGGCTTCCAATCGAGTGTTAAAAACAATACAGCATTAAATATTAAAAACTTCCCTAAACAGGGCTGCTTTCAGTTGTCTTTTAAGATAAGATAGCTACTTATTTCCTTCACATCTGAAGGGAGGGCGTTCTACAGGGCGGGCGCCACTACCAAGAAGGCCCTCTGTCTGGTTCCCTGTAACCTCACTTCTTGCAATGAGGGAACCGCCAGAAGGCCCTCGGCACTGGATCTCAGTGTCCGGGCTGAACGATGGGTGTGGAGACGCTCCTTCAGGTATACAGGACCGAGGCCGTTTAGGGCTTTAAAGGTCAGCACCAACACTTTGAATTGTGCTCGGAAACGTACTGTGAGGCAATGTAGGTCTTTCAAGATAGGTGTTATGTGGTCTCGGTGGCCACTCCCAGTCACCAATCTAGCTGCCGCATTCTGGATTAATTGCAGTTTCCAGGTCACCTTCAAAGGTAGCCCCACGTAGAGCGCATTGCAGTAGACTAAGTGGGAGATAACTAGAGCATGCACCACTCTGGCAAGACAGTCCGCGGGCAGGTAGGGTCTCAGCCTGTGTAGCAGGTGGAGCTGGTAGACAGCTGCCCTGGATCAAATCAGAAACAGGGATGGCTTCTGTAAATCTGTGACTGTCCCTGGAAAATAGGGACACTTGGAGGTCTGGGTCGCTCCCATTCATAACTGAAGGTACCTGCGATAGAAGCCTCTGCATGCAAGCAGATGCTGAGCCACTGATTTACAGCCCTCCCTACATTTAGTTTCTAAGAAGCAAAAGCACCTACTTGTTATTTGGAGGGTTAGTACCTTTTTGCTACTTGCTACTTATAAACACCATGCTTTGGATTGTATGGATTACTGTGTGCGAGGCTGATAGATGGATGCCCTCCCTTGTGACAAGGGGTTTGACCTTGAGGAAGGTTGTTTTGCCCCTTCCAACAGTCTTGTAACACACACAGCACACACACACACCCCTCAATCTTTTGCGGCTTCCCCAGTGGTTTTCAAATTATGTTCTGTGGAACCCTGGAGTTCCTCCGAAGCTTATTGAGAATCCTTAATGAGAAGATCAGAATTGCTGAGCAAGTTATTCCTAAAGGCCTATCACTACTCATCATCTCCTGCAATGTGCAACTGCAGGGAATATGGGGTATTATTTTATAATTCTATTCCAGGGCATACCCTCTGTTTACATAAGGTAAAATCAAGGAAGCCAAAGAAGCCTTGCCAGTAGCCAGGATGAACTGAATGTTCACCTAAAAACTTCTCTGAATTATTCACAGTATTCAGGATTCCTGTTATCTCTTCTCATTAAGCATGCTGGCTGGGGCCGATGAAAGATACAGCCCAAAACATCTGGAAGGCACTACACTGGCTACTCCTGCCCTAGAGGGATGCTACAGAGATGCTCAATGAGTCTCCTAGGGGTTGAGAGGTTTTTTTTGCCTTGCTTCAACTTCAGAAAGGGAAGTTTGTTAAGTATCTCACAAGCCGCAATAGATGGTTGATAGGCCATGTGAGTCTGGCTTGGTGAGTCATAATGTATAGTGTGAGAGTAAATAGTGTTAGCAAAGTCACTTAAATGATGCAGGTGGAGACTGGAGAGAAAATAAAACCTGATAGCACATAATAATAATAATAATAATAATAATAATAATAATAATAATAATATATTATTTATATCCCACCCATCTGGCTGGGTTTCCCCAGCCACTCTGGGCGGCTCCCAAATGAATATTAAAAACACAACACAGTGGTACCTCTGGTTGCGAATGGGATCCGTTCCAGAGGTCCGGCTGTATCCTGAAGTTTTCGCTACTGGAGGTACCGCTTCTGCGCATGCAAGTGAATGCAGCGAAACACTTCCAGGGGTGCTGGTAATGTAACCCAAAGTTCCTCTGTACAGCATTAAACATTAAAAACTTCCCTAAACAGGGCTGCCTTCAGATGTCTTTTAAAAGTAGGATAGTTGCTTATTTCCTTGACATCTGGTGGGAGGGTGTTCCACAGGGCGGGCACCACTACTGAGAAGGCCCTCTGCCTGTTTCCCTGTAACCTCACTTCTCACAGTGAGGGAACCACCAGAAGGTCCTCGGTGCTGGACCTCAGTGTACGGGCTGAACGATGGGGGTGGAGACACTCCTTCAGGTATACAGAACCGAGGCCGTTTAGGGCTTTAAATGTCAGCACCAGTACTGAGGACACTGGTATAATTTGAGAAGAAAGGAACAGAGAGGTCTTGTCTTTCTTTGTACATCAGAGGGAGACATTCAACCAAACACACAAGGGGGAAAACTCCCTCTGAACTACAGAACTAATCAGGAAACATGGTACCTCAGCAAATTTATGCCCCTCTTCATGGTTGCTAAGCAACACCTCCAGCCTTATCCCTTGTGGCTAGTTGATTTCAGCGCTAATGGAATTAACCCTTTAGTTGTGCCTGAATAGTGAATGAAGACATGAGCAGGGAGCATGGGGACGCGCATGCCAGTCCCACCCCGGCCTCCCCATGCCAAATTGCCCTGCCCAAGCCACCAATGGGGCTTCTTTGTGAGGACTTCCAACAAACAGAGCATTGGAGGACAACTGTGAGTGAAAGATAATAATGAGCATAACAGAAAACATTCTGAACTAGCATGCCTCCTTTTGTGCTGGCTTCGGAACAGAAGTTAAAACCCAACCTGTAGTTGCTACATGGGAAACCAGCCTAGATAATCAGAGAATAACCTCTGCTAGTTTGAATTGCCACTAACTTTTAGTTTGGGGCGGGGGGGGGGAATCCTATCATTTACTTTGAAGCAGACACCGAATGTTAGAAGAGGGTTTGCTGGAAGCTGACCTAGTTTCTAAGCTGTACTCTCCAGGGGTACATGACAAGGGTTAAATATTGTGCTAATAAAGATTAGGAGATTACTAGAAAAGGAAACATTTTGCCTTGACCTGATTCGCAAGGAAATGCTTTATCACAAGAATTTGTTTTGTTTTTTTAAAAGAAAATCCATACATCTTTAAATATACAATTTAATGGAATAAAAACAAGAAGAACCTAACTCAGGAGCATGAAGACTATAATAATGATTTCCATGAAAAATCCCATGTGGGAGCCTAACTAGTTCTTTTGGAGGATATGTGTCTGCTAACAGCATAAGGCTTTCCACCCATCTCCCTGCTGGTTTTTATCTATTTTATTTATTTAATAAAATGCATACGCTGCTTGATTGTAAGAAAACCTTTAGGCACTTTACAAAAATAAGGTCTAGTAAAAGAAAGACATAACTGTGGGATGGGATTTAATGGGCAGGAGAGGATATTAATTGTGATTTATCCCTCCAGGTGCCCATTTGTGGGGGTTGAGCGGAGTTTTAGAACCCCACCCTTGGCAGCAAAATTAAAAGCATAGAAATTAGACTGTAAAACCCTTTTTTTGAGCAAGTCCAGCCATGGAGTGAGCTATGGCTCTCCCTATCTCACCCTGCTCAACAAAGAATCAGACAACAACTTGGGAAGGTTGTTTAAAAACATGAATTACTCCCTTATAATATTGCGTTGGTTCACAGCAATGGCAGCAGTAAAAACTATGCAGGGGAAATACTTATACTTACAGTATAGGTAAAGGTAAAGGTACAGCTTTTGCCATGTACCTAAAGTTGGAGCAAGTGGAGGCATGTCTTGCATCCATTGCTGGTCAACAGAAGAGAGAGAGGCACAGGAAATACCATTTTCTCCTTCCTTTCCAACAGCAGAGGGGAAATGACATCACACAAAGCCCTCCCTCCCAATTGTATTTTTATGGTTTGAGTACCTGAGTATCAGCAATGCAGTTCTGTTGTATTAGCCCCTTCTCATGCTAACTAGCAAGAACATGCATGCTAGGTTTGGCTACTAATCTCCCACAATAACATGATGCCATTGTATTGGCATCCATCCATCCATCTCCATGCCAGTTCAGTGCATGTTGCTTCCGGCGGAGAGCAAAACACTGAATGTGGTGTCACTCTAACTACTGCGACAGTGCCATTCCTTCATTCAAGTTACCATTTTAGAATAATCATAGGCTAGTCCAGTCTTCTCCAGCCTATTGCCTTCCAGATGTTGCTCCATTACCCCTAGGCAACATGACCAATGGTCAGATATGAGTCCAACAACATCTGGAAGACACCAGGTTGGGAAAGGCTGGGTTAGTCTTTCCCAGTAGACTGGGAGGGCAGGGTAGATTCTAGAATGAAGAATAAGAGTGTTGACTGCTGTGTGCTAGGAAGATCCCAAATATTAAATTCTGCAGTTGTTCAGCTTGTGGGGCAGATACATATCTGAAGCAGCCTTGCATCCCTGCAATGTTTCTCTAGGCTGCTTAAGTGTCTAAGCCTTGGGCAGATTCTGCCCAGAAGCCTGCAAGCTATGCCTGCAAGAGATGCCCTGCAACTCGTAATGCATGGAGTATCATCCAGCCCAAGCTGAGCATGCTTAAGTCCCGTTTATTTCAATGTGTGAGAGCTAATGATCATAATACATATATTGGATTGTATGTTTGTGGACAGAGTTGCCTTCTTTTAGCTTTAGTGTAGTGCTTAATTTTTAAGTTATGTATAGGATCCTCATCATCATTGATCTCCAGCATTATAAGAGCTAAAGATTTACTCCTTATCTTCATATAATTGGATGTCATAGAATCATAGAATTGTAGAGTTGGAAGGGACCCCAGGGGTTATCTGCTCCAACCCCTGCAATGCAGGAATCTCATCTAAAGCATCCATGAAAGACGGCCATCCAACCTCTGCTTCAAAACCTCCAAGGAAGGAGAGTCCACAACCTCCTGAAGGAGACCGTTCCACCGTTGAACAGCTCTTATTGTCAGAAAGTTTTTCCTGACAATCTCCTTTCTTGTAACTTGAAGTCATTACTCAAACTGGGGGGGGGGGGAGATCAGTGTCCCATATACTGGAGGGGACATTTCAGCTGAACATTAGGAGAAACCTTTTGGTGGTTAGAGCAGTTCAGGAATGGAACCGATTACTTAGAGGAGAGATGGGGAACCAGTGGTCCTCCAGATATTTTTGGATGACAACACTCATCTTTGATTTAGAGCAGGGTTTCCCAAACTTGTGTCTCCAGCCGTTTTTGGACTACAGTTTCCATCACTCCTGACCACTGGCTAGCTAAGGGTCATGGGAGTTGTAGTCCAAAAACAGCTGGAGACACGTCTGGGAAACCCTGATTTAGAGGGTTGATAGGAGGCTTTCCCTTGCTGAAGGACTTCAAAGCAGGCTAGTCATCAGTTGAACATGATTCAGCTTTGGGTTTTCTGCACTGAACAGAAGGTTGGAGGAGATGCCCTCTAAGTCTATGGTTTTATGTTTCATGCTCCCCTATGTAAAATATTTCCTACACATTGTAAGCCATCACATATGAGGAAGCATTTAGATATACCATCTCCATGATATTCTGGAATTCTGTGTCTTGCTCTCTAAATCTACTGTGGTATGTTTTTTACTTGTTCATTTGGTTCCACTGTTTGTAATTTTTGTTTGTAATTTTTGTGGTGCTGATTAATAGGCAGGTGAGCTACCTGCTGCAAATCTCAGCTTTTGCTGGGATGCACAGTTTCAGCTCATGCTAAATTTGCAATCTGACTTCACTGGAGTGCAAAATTGGCTTGCTTGTCATAAGCTGCTAATATGAGCAAAACAATATAATACTTCTTTTTCTGGCTCAAGTGGAGGATTACGGTGGCTGAGAGGACTTTCTTCTTCTTCAAAATTTGCACTGCAGGTGAACAGCTGTTTCTAATGGGCAAACCTTGTTAAAAATCAAAGAGCATGGGTTGGCTTGTACTTGAGCACCACGTTTGCTTGATAACAAGCGGTCACACCTAGAGAGTTTAGTTGGTGAGGAGGAAGCAGCGAAAGATCTGTGAGTTGTTTTTGCAAACAGAGATTAGTAGCTCCTCTCCCCCCATCCCTCGCCGCCCCTTATTGTATCAAGATGGATTTTGAACCATAAGGTGAGACACACAATCTTATTGAACAGAGCTGCCACAATGTTTAACAATAGATTAGACAGATTTGCAGCAAATTATGCCAACGGCATACTCCATTGCATTACACACGGTCAATTAAATGTGCTTCCATTTGGAAAGAGACGGCTGCAGCATTAATTACAATATTTATACATGCCTGCAAGGAAGTTTGCCTAGTTATCATACCTTTGTGCCAAATAGAGCTGATAAGATTTCCACAAGTGACTGTACTGATGAAAAGAGCATCTTGTGCGAGCCCTTGGGAGAAATCAAAAAAGTTAAAACTCTGCTGTTTCTGGCTGTCAAACACACACACACACCCCTTTTCAAAACAAAGAATATTCAAAACATTGTGTTGGATAGGTAATGACTAAATGCTTCTGGAAGGGGCAGCAGGGGGAGATCTCAGAAGTAAATTCTGCTTAATACTGCAAGTTTTGGCCTACCTGAAGTAAAGGCCAGGAGCAAACTGTCAGCTGAATGCATAACAGAGAACACCTCTGAGGAAAATTAAACTCTCTTTTTCCCCCATAATAAGGTGCTTCGGATTCCATTTTGAAAGGAAAGCATTTGCATGTCAATGTATTTTGTATCAGTTTCTGTGGGGAACAATATCAAAGGTTACCCTGTTCATAAAAAAACTCATCCTGTTCATCAAAACAACACCCCCACCCTGCATAATCACTACTCTAGTAAACAAACAATAATAACATACCAGGCAGAGGTCCTAAAAACAAACCTTTATCTTTTAACGGTATTATTTTTCACTGTTATTCTTCTTCTGTCTCTTCATGCCGTGCATTCTCAAGTGGCAGAAAAGCTGGCAGTAGGCTTAATAGCAATAGGGTTCAAAAGACCACATGCAAGAGGTCTTCCTATTTATTATACATTTTTGTGGCTGCACACAATCATATTTTGGGGTTCCCCTTCAAATGTAAATGATTTGTGTGGGAAACAAATTATGTTTCCTTCCTAACAAATCCCCACCCCCATAGTGCCTTCATGTAGCCCGCTCGATGGCATAACCAAGTTTCCTTACCATTTAATTACTCTGTGTTTTCAAAGATGTGAACATTGCCACTGGATTTCTCTGCATTTTTGAAGGCTTAAAGTGCTTTACAGTGGTATCTCGGGTTAAGAACTTAATTCGTTCTGGAGGTCCGTTCTTAACCTGAAGCTGTTCTTAACCTGAAGCACCACTTTAGCTAATGGGGCCTCCTGCTGCTGCCGTGCCGCTGGAGCACGATTTCTGTTCTCACCCTGAAGCAAAGTACTTAACCTGAGGTACTATTTCTGGGTTAGCGGAGTCTGTAACCTGAAGCGTATGTAACCTGAGGTACCACTGTATTGTCAAGGATTTCTTAAGTAGCAGTGAATGCTCTGCTCTCAGAGTTTTATAAACTTCTATACACGATTACACAACCTGTGTGTACGTCCACATGGTACATTGCTCTTCCCCCCTTTTCGAGATGAAAGAATTGTGAAGCTCAGTTGTATACGTGTATATCCTGCCACATGTTAGGTTGTACGTGTAACAAAGGGACTCTACTAAGTGTATGCCATTCTGCAGTCATGCCATTCTTTTAACTCTCCTCAACGTTGCCTGTGCTTATTTCCGCTCCCCATTCCACTTACTCAAGCCAAGGCATAACCAATGTGGTTCTTGGGATGTTGATGGACTCCAGCTCCCATCAGCCCCAGCCAGGATGGCTAATGATCAGCCATGATGGGAGTTGTAGTCTAACAGCATGAACGCCTTAACAAATCAGCACACTGGAAAAATGGAGATGGATTTATACATCAAACTGCATGTTTGTACATGTAGAGGGTTGGTGACATCCTTTTGTCTCACAAGACAATGGAGTGCACCTCTGAAACTGCTGGAGAATCACAGCGCCTGCTGTGGCTGCAGGCCTGGGCAGTGTGTTTGGACGTAAATGTGTGCATGGCTGCAACTAAAAACTACAAACCTATACCCATTTACCTGCAAATAAGTTCCTTTGAACTCAGAGACACTTAATTCTGAGTAGGCACATACAGAATTCTGCTGTAAAACCATTTGTCATCAGAAGCAATGCTGGATACAAAAAGATATCCACAGTGTTCAAAAAATTTCACAGACTGATCAAATTCCTATGTTCTTTGGTACTGCAAGAGACAGCATTACTTTGGGTCGAGATTTATTTTGTCAGGAAGAAAGAATGCTCAAATGAGTTACATCATTGGCATTTATTCCATTAAGATATTTTTTTTTTTACTCCCTGAAAATTGGAGCCACATTTAGCCATAGCTGTGAGTATTAAGGTCAGTCACACTGCACCATTTCACACTGGGCTAAGCATACAAGCACTGCCAGAGGGAAGATTGGCACGTTCAATCTCTATGAACAAGCTTTACATCCAGATTTGAAATTCAGTCTGCATGAACTATGCAAACTACAGTGTGTTGAAGACATTTCCTACCCAGGGCTTTATTAAAATGGGCATAGAGTTGTGCTAGAACACAGCTGAGTACCTGGGCTATTTCCAGAAATATCGATGTGTCTTGCATTACATGGATCTTTCCCATGGATATTGTCCCTGTTGTCAGAGCCTTTCAACATATTACAAGAATCAGGTTGTAGACAGAAGTGGTAGAATAATGGACTGGACCACTTCTGACTGCACATTGGAATGTTCCCTCACATTGAGAGGTTTGTCTATTGTATGTAACCTCCGTCTACTCTATGCAAAGTAGCTCTTCAGGCTGAAAGTTTTAGCATGACCTTGATCGACTGGTTTATTACATTTAGGGAGGTCTTTATGTAGGGGACCATATAACTCCCAGTATGAAATGCTACAGTCTGGAATTCTACCGTGATATAACTTTATGTAATATGCCTAATAGCTTCTCAATCATCAGCAACCCAACCAAAATAGCTGTCTAGTGTCTACATTGCCAAATCGTAACGAAAATTCAGTGAGATAGTTTTCTAACTGTGATTGTCTAACTGGCCATATGAATATGATGCTATGTAATGGGAATAAGAGATTTCATGTTGACCAACAAATCTGCACTGAATGCCCTAGCCGCATTCCTAAATTTCAGGATTTTGCTCATGCAAAATTCTTTCTAAAGCTGCAGATGTTCTTTTTGTGTCAATTTTTTATTAAACTTTAAAATTTTTAGATATAAATTCCATATCCCAAATTTGTTATACATTTCTCTTTAAACTTTGACTTCCTGCTTTTCCCTCTGTGCTGTTCTTAATCCCATTCAATTTACATATTGCATTTTAACAAACTTTTCGCCTAGGAGATTCTTTTCGATTTCATATATTATCAAATTTTCTACCGCTGCTCATATTTCAAATCCTGCTCGCGATTTCATCTGCTCATGATATTTTCTGATGTTGTTCTTTTTCATATTGCAGAGCACGGACTCGAATTCAAATGTAAGAAAAAGAACTAATACCACCGTACAGGCGGAAACGGAGAGCGTCAGGAGAATTGATACAGGAAACAGTTCCATGCCACCTTCAACGGTAACTCAGGGGCCTTCGGACGTTATGCCCCGATCTCCTTCAGCATCAAGTCCGAACCCCTTCAGCCGAATTAGCATATCAGAAACATTGGCTTCTGCAAGAGCTACTCCTTCAGCTCCTCCCTCTACCCCAGTTTTAACAGGATATATACCCCAGCAAGCCACGGCTGGATCTCCAACCATTCACCGTTTACTTGGATCTAGACTGGAGCAGATTCAGACTACAGCAAATACTTTGGGGGCGCCTTCAAAGTCGTCAGTCGTCGCTCCTCCTCCTCCTCCCCCTCCCCCACCCTCAAGCTCTGGCACCAGTAAGATAGACAAATATGCACGCATTTTGTTCCCCGTCACCTTTGGAGCATTTAATATGGTCTACTGGGTGGTGTATCTATCCAAGGACACGATGGAGAAATCGAAAAGTCTAATGTAGTCTTGCTGCTATGTAGTAGGTTTTTTTCTGAAATTTATTCTACACACATTTGAATGCAGAGTTTCTTCTTTTAAAGCTATTTTTTAAAAAAGAAACCTTTAATGCTTATTTTATATATAAAAAAAAAGAGAGAGAGAAAGCTCTGTGCTCGTTTTCCCATGGTAAAGGGCAGGTATTATTAGGTAAATTAACGCAGCAAAATGGAGGGGCAGGGAGTATGGACACTGTCTTCCAGGCCTTCTTGAAATGGTGTTCTGTTTGAACAAAAATGCATGGGGCCATTGGGAAGAACAGAGATGGGAAGCAAATATATTATAGTGATATACAGATACATGTATACAATAAATGTGGTCTGGCTTTCCCGAAAGTGTGCATCAGTAGGTAGAAGCTGATGTTTTCATGGCCTAGCTGCAGGACAGTATTCTCTCCTGTGAGTTGGGGTGGCTGTGAATTGGAGGTTATTCATACCTTCACTGGTAAAGACACACCCTGGGGGAAAAAGCATGCATTCATGTAGTGGAAAGCAAAGCAAAAAAAAACTTGCTGTATGTGGGGAAGCTTTAGGAGAAAAGAGCTATGCAAATAAGGAGGTAGATAATTTCCACTAAACAAAATGCACAGGCAATTATGTTTTTGAACTAAGCTTGGGTGGGTCTTAAGGTAAAACACTTGCACAAAATCTTTTTGGCTGGCAAATTAGGGTCATGACCAAGCCCAATTTAAGTCAGTTCCACTAATATGAATGGGACACAATAGTGCTAAGCTTGAATTGGATTGTATAACCTGTCTAAGTAAACTGGAACTCGTCTCATTTAAATCTTGCTAGTTGCATTGCCCTGCATTTCATGTGCATCCTCCATAAATCATTTAAGCATCATTCTTCCATTTAAGCTATGTTAGGCTCAAGTTCACTTAATGTTTGCCCTTCAACAGTTGTTTTATAGAAGAAGAGTACCAAATGGATGGATTTGCCCCTCTACTTTCCGTGATATTTTTGTTTTTTCTTCCCTCGCTTGCCAGGATGTTTCCCCTCTTCACTTGCTTTGATGTCTTTAGCTTACATTTCTAATACATCTTACCTTGAATATGTGAATATTGAACCAGGGCCTGATTGTTGTTCCTGTTTCAGTGGCCTTAGTCACAATAACTTCAGGTCTTTCCACTGTGGCACTGGGGCTGCTTCCTGTGGATTTTAACCTAGGTACTTCTGTGACATTTGTATGTAGGAACCTATGTTTCCCACATGAATGTTCAACAGCCTCTGTCTGACCATGGAACTGGGTCATGGCAAAGCGATTCCCATACCAGTGTCAGAACATAAGAAATGAGCCAATTCTGAGAGTACCGTGTTTTAAGCACTTTACTGGTTTAGCTGAATTGTACAGCCTGCAGCACCGACCCATAAATATTTAGAATGTGGATTAGTGACAACTACAAACTACAAATGTTAAATTTTGGCAGCACTGCAGCAACATTATGATAACATTGCACTGGAGCAAACATTTACGACTTCTGTGGGCTAGTCCTACGGGATTGCTTTGGAGAGCCGTTTGTGTTTCTCTTGAGTTACAACTCTGAAAAGAAAAGAAAGATCAAGCTCGGAAAGTATTGTTTCCATCAAAATCGTATCTCTCCTCATGTCTCCTCTCATTTCTGCATTTCTTATTTATCTGTCCATGAGTCTCCCCACTCCCTGGATTGAATGTTTCACCAAAAGGCAGACAGCCAATATGTTACAAGAGGGGTAGGTCAGCACATTGGCACGGGAAGTAACTATGAATACTTCCTTCAACATTTTGGTATGTCTGTCTGTAATGCAAGTTGTGAAGGTTCAGGTGAATGAATAACCTGCTTGCCTCAGGTTAAGAACGGTTTCGGGTTAAGAACGGACCTCTGGAACAAATTAAGTTCATAACCCGAGGTACCACTGTACTTCTGTTTTCTCTCTAGTAGTGTCTTCAGTGCCTTTAAAAGCAGGCAGCTGTTATTGCCCATGTTTTCTCAAGATATATGGACAAAGTCCCTTTAAAAAAGCCTGTTTCCAAGTTTTCTTCTTATAGTTCACCTGGTTTCATACAGTTCTAAAAAGAGCCTTCTACAGTGCCATGAAGAAGCACTGCTCATCACTGCGTGACTCTTGACTGTTTTCGATTATGCATAGTGCAGAGAATGTGAATTGAAACAAGTTTTCCTCCCTTTCCCATGAAAAATCAAGAAGTTGGGTCCTCCAGTGAAGCTGAAAGTTGGAAGATTCAGGACAGAGAAGAGTGTTGTCACACTCAGGTGTGTCTGGCCACTATAAGAACAGGATGCTGGACTAGATGGGTGCTTGGTCTGATATTAAAGTTACTTGCATTCTTACGGCCTCTGCCCAATATACCTGAACGAGCAACTCCACCTCCATCGTTCAGCCCAGACACTGAGATCTAGCTTCAAGGGCCTTCTGGCGGTTCCCCCACTGCGAGAAATGAGGTTAAAGGGAACCAGGCAGTGGACCTTCTTGGTAGTGGCACCCGCAATGTGGAACGCCTTCCCATCAGATGTCAAGGAAATGAACAACTATCTGACTTTTAGAAGACACCTGAAGGCAGCCCTGTTTAGGGAAGTTTTTTTTATGTCTGATCTTTTATCGTGTTTTTAATGTTCTGTTGGGAGCCACCCAGAGTGGCTGAGGAAACCCAGCCAGATGGGTGGGATATTAATAATAATAATAATAATAATAATAATAATAATAATAATTCTACTTCTGAAATGGGGGATCTCCTGTTCTAATGGAGGCTCCCCATGCATTTGTGAATCCTGATCTTCCAGGGTTTAAAAACATGTTAAAAGATGTGGGGCATCTCTGTGAATTTAGGAGAAGCCTCACTTCAGAAGTAGTAGCCAAACAGAAGAGCAGTCAAAAGGAAAAGCACAATAAAATAGGCAGAGCTAAAGGTGTGACCAGGTGACCTGTCTCTACCCTCATGGCAGTAACTCCGACTGTGGTACAGATGGCTCTATGCATGGTAGCTAGCTAGAATACTATCTTTAGATGACGCCTTTCTTGCTTAACAGACTCTACAACTGGTAAGCCCAATGATATTAGAATTCCATAGATGGTGGAACTAGTGAAATGAATTAATGGCTTTATTATTGCCCCATATCTAAGTTAGATTCTGAGAGGGGGCGGGTGGTAATCAGAGTTAAGCCTGAGCCCATACAGGTGATCAAATTGTCCTTAAATGAGTCCTCTCACTCTGAGGCAAACTTGTTTGAATCATTCAGGTACAGATTCAAGGTAAAATAAGTGTCTGTGTCCACCTCCACATTCTGGGAATTTCAATATTGTAGCTGTCCAGTTGGAATGTTTTGTATTTATTTTGAGTCATGTAGTACATTTATGAAGCAAAGACTGGGCAAATCAGAGGAAATCAATGCATTACAGAAGCCTTTTTCTCTGTCACTCCTTGTGAATTTTGGACTCTGCTGAAAGTACATCACAATGATTCAAAGATTTCAAAGGCCTACAAGTAGTATATAGTAAAAGCTTTTTGGTTGGGTTACATTATTGTTTCTCTGCCTTTATGAAATCACATTGTTCATTTCCTCCATGCCATCTTGGGATTTGGGCCTGTACAATGACTAAGCAAACAAGCTGTATATAGTCTGCTAGCCATAGTTAGTGGGCTACCAGGGGCTTGATAAATTATCATTTTTTGTAGTATGATGGCAGCTATCTGGCAGGCCACAGTGCATGACTGGTGGGCTGTGTTTGGCTTGGTGGGTCACGAGTTGCGCAGACCTCTCTTGAGAGTCAACTAATTGCTTATATTCACACATCAAGATGGCTGCAGCTGTCCTTGAGTAAGCAGCAGGTTCACACTGAAGTTTCATCACATGGTCAGATACTCAAGTACACTGCTGTGTGTGGGAAAGCATAGTTTGTTCATGTAAAGTGGCCCCCGGCCTCCTACATTCCATGCTCCCACCATGGGTACCATCTTTCTTGACTTCTTCACATTGTTCTTCTTGCACCATAACTGTCTTCAGCCCCACAAGTAGCTGGGCCTACTGCAGTTAATAACTCACAATCAAATCTCCTTCTTTCAGCTATCCAGGCAGAGTCACAACCCACAAATACAACTTGTTTACTGGTTACTCCAATAAAGCATGCAAAATTGCTTGCTCCCCCTCTGTTTGAGATGACCTGGGCTTCATTGAAGTAGTTTCTAGTCAGAGGAGACACAGATTTTCTGGGTGCCTCAGAAGCCTGCAGTATTGCTGTTAAGGTTGCTTTCATCACGTCTACATTCTTCCCTCATCTGACATGCGCTCTCCCTCTCATACTTATTTCTTCATTTGAATGGTGATTGTCATTTCATGCTGTCATTCCTCACCAATGCCATTTTAAAAAATGCTGGGAAATCATGAGTAAAGCCCCAGATTCCCTACAGTTCCCCACCTCCGAACTCTGGGATCAAACACAGTAGTGTCTAGGAAGTGGCAAAGGAATAGGGCAACCAATATCCCCCTGGGACTGTACAACTTGAGAATGGAAGTTGCTTCTTATAGATTTGAATACAGTGGTACCTCAGGTTAAGTACTTAATTCATTCCAGAGGTCCATTCTTAACCTGAAACTGTTCTTAACCTGAAGCTAAAGGGGCCTCCTGCTGCCGCCGCGCCGCCAGAGCACAATTTCTGTTCTTATCCTAAAGCAAAGTTCTTAACCTGAAGCACTATTTCTGGGTTAGCGGAGTCTGTAACCTGAAGCGTATGTAACCCGAGGTACCACTGTACAGAGCAAGATTTCCTGAAAATAAGCCCCTTCTCTCTTAAGAAAGTTTCTGAGGCTATTTTCAAATCTTTTTCCTTTTAATCTGTCATTTTACAAGGGATCATATAAATACCTCTAAACACCTGTGTGCTTACATCCAAAAAACACAGATAAAGATAATTGTATTCCAAGTCAAGAGGTAACAATCATCCTTATCATTTTTATACAGTGTTTTTTTAAGT